TCACTGGATTGTCTGGTCTAGATTCGACTATTTACAGACCGCCGTCATATAGCTGGAATATTGCCGGCGTTAAACTACAAACAAACAAGCATAGGTTGCTGGATCTATTCTAACTCGGAATCCTCACGAGTGATCATAGTAGAAATAGCTGTCTTGTTCTATATAAGTTCATTTGTTGATAATTACAGATTAATCACATTGAGCTTGTTCCTATGTGTCATGTGTCATGTGTTAGGATATTAACAAACTGAAATAAATATTTTCAAACAAATTTATCAACCGGAAAAAAATAACAAGAAACCCACATTTGATGAATGGTGTTAATAAAATACATTACTAACATCCGTTTTCATTATATAGCTATATAAAATATAATTCTAAGCGTCAAGTCGAACTTGTTTTCCCCAGACCTGGATTTGTCATAGCCCTAAGTATTTTCCTTACTAATGTATGACGCGCAAAGGTGACTAACGATGAATCGGCCATGAACGCAGAGAGCGTAGGATGTCGATCGGACGCTACTCCGCCTCTCATTGTGGAATCAAACCTAGCGATGGCCGAGTAGGCCCGCAAGTGATGTCAGCCCACTCCCGATGTCAAGCGTGTTTGCTGTGGCCGACTGTCGCTCTGGGAATAACACACGATGACACATAGCATCGGAACTCAGGGGTTGTGGAAACAACGCATGCAGTGACCTCAGTGGGCTTAGTGCTATAAGAGTTATGTCCCTTTACCTTATCGCTTTTCCCATGTCCAACTTCGTGAACATTGAAGTTACAACAAAGTGGTATACTGGTTGTTGAATTCATAATGTTTACTAGGGTCGTTTTGTTGTGGGATCTATGATTAAGAGTAATTCTCCACGTAAATCGTTTTTAATCCTAGCCTTCATTTCTTGCAGTTTGTTGTCTAATATTTTGTTTGCGTGTAGGCATGAAACTCAAGGCCGCGTCTGCCATCTTCCATAGCCTAACTCCACAAATTCCCCATCCTCTAGTGTTTGTATTTATTGTAGATAGTTTGTGTAACCAGCATTTTTAATATAGACCAAACAATTAAATATTCAAGGTCGCGGTTACGCTGGGAATGATAGATTATTCTACAGCCTATTTTTACGAGGGACGATTTGATAAATGAATATTTCATCTACTTGATTGAATTTTTTTAAAACCCATACAGATGTCAAAACATGCTGCTTTGAGAATCTTTTCTGTCTTGAAATCCTATGGGAGATTTCTTCTAGGAAACTGATGTACAAGGCACACATAAATGGCAAGTTGGGTCATGGTACAGTGCTAACAAAACAAGGTGGGGGAGGTGAAATGGGGTTTAACATCCATCCATTATATAGCGACGTGAATGCACATACTTGGATGGCTGCTTGTACGAGTCCGGACTAAAGCCAAATTCCATGTTGTATCCTGGTACAGAAAAATGGTGAGTTGTATCCTGGTACAGACAAATGGTTTGATGTATCCTGGTACATACAAATGGTGAGTTGTATCCTGGTACAGAAAAATGGAAAGTTGTATCCTGGTAAAAACAAATGGTGAGTTGTATCCTGGTACAGACAAATGGATTGATGTATCCTGGTACAGACAAATGGTGAGTTGTATCCTGGTACAAACAAATTCCAAGTTGTATCCTGGTACAAACAAATTCCAAGTTGTATCCTGGTACAAACAAATTCCAAGTTGTATCCTGTACAAACAAATGGTGAGTTGTACCCTTGTACAAAGTACTAGTGGTACAAAGAAGACCTGGCACGGTGCCGCGGGCAGAATGTGTGCCCACAGAGAGTCACACTGTCATCCCTTTAATGTGCCAGTGGTATAGATAATGAAATAATTGTAACAAGCTGTTGTTTCATTTTGATAAAAATATATTTCTAGAATATGGTAACAAAATGAAAAGGATAAAATGTTGACAATTCTTATAACAGGTACATGTATATCAATTCTGTACAATATAAAATAGAACTTTTATCAAACAAAATATTGTCAAAATAATTTCAAGTAAAATCTCCCAACATGGCAGTTATTTGTGTGAAGACCTGGACATGACAACACTTCATTGCTTGACAGGATATAGCTGAGCTGGTCAATGACTAGTGCTGAAAACACCTTGATCACAGTCAACAAGGAAATGTCGGCCGTCAATGTTTAGCACTATTGTGACTTACAGTTTCCTTACAACAGGCTTCCTGGTTGATTGTCTCACCGATCTGATGACAACTTAGGGACCGGCCATTTATTACACGGGTGGGTGTGTCAGAGGTCTTTGATGCACTAATGTTCTGAAAATATTGACCAATGCTTGTCATTTTTGGGTGATCCTTCTGATTTCCTCTGAACAGCCCCCGAAATAAATGATCCTTCTGAATTAAAAGTTACCGAGATTGAATGCATGCTTTGAAAACCAAAATTACCCTGGCTTTGATTTGTTTCTCAGGGGAAGCTTCTTATGCTGAAAACAGCCACCAAATGTCAGAAAATGTCATCTAAACAAGGGCAAAAATATCTTTTGTGGTAATCTGTGACAAGAAACCTAACTAATTTGGATTGAGTGAGTGAGTGAGTGAGTGAGTGAGTGAGTGAGTATGGTTTTACGCCGCTTTTAGCAATATTCCAGCAATATCACGGCGGGGGACACCAGAAATGGGCTTCACACATTGTACCCATGTCGGGAATCGAACCCAGGTCTTCGGCGTGACGAGCTAACGCTTTAACCACTAGGCTACCCAACCGCCCCTTGAGTGATTGAGCCCTTGGTGGGATGATACATGTTTTAGCTGCAGAACTCTCCTGGTTTTATAATAGATGACAAATATATACTACTAAAAGAAGTAAAGGACCATCTGATTCCTTCATATTACTATAAATTGTTTGATAGTCATTACTTAGAAGTTGACAGATGACGATGGAGATGGAGATGAAACTATAGTGTAAAAATTAAGGCTGGGACGAGTACCCATCCCTCTATTACCCGACCATACGCTGGTACCCACTGTAGGTCTTAAGAGATAGGTACAAAAGGTCCAATTGGGAAAAGTTTGACCGTAGCCTTGGACAAAATGTATTTAGATACACATATAAAACGATCTGGTCATGCATACACTAAAGTTGACTGAAGTTTAATCTTTATTCAAACATATAAAAGTCAGAATGAATGGGTGCATAGTCAGAAAGAAATGCAAACATTAGTGACTTGTAGAGTAACCGTATAGTTCCTTTATCATTTTTGTCATTAAACAATCTGTCACATGACTATGGGTCGGGGTAGTCCTGTGGGTACCCGGGTCCTACTCAGTACCCACATGACCCAAGCACACGAGTTACCCGTCCCAGCCCTAGTATAAATTTTGTAGTATGCTCTTTATAGGCTTCATATCTCTTGACTACACATTTCATACAATGATGTTAAATGACAAGACAAAACGGTGTCCTTATAACTGAATGAACATAACAGTGCTTGATACAGCAGCAGTGGTACAAATGTGACATTTTTAAGAGTTTTGCTACATTTTATCATTATAAGGACTAAAAGATGTTAGTTTCTATCGCTCTACTGACCGTAACTTGTGAGCAGTCCAAAAGGACTAAATGTTTCCCAATTTATAACAAGCATGAAATACACATACTGCCAATATGACATGTCCGGTTGCTATGGAAACTTGAAAAATATTTTTGGTAAAAATCCGAATTTCGAGTTTACCACTAGACCTATCTACGTGCCATGTTTGGTGAAAAATATCATACGGCTTTCAAGATCTGATCCAGAAAGGAGCACTACCATCCTTTTCAGTCTAAGTCAAAGTTGTTGCCATGGAAACTCAATAATTGTTTTAAAAATCCCAAACTATCAAAATACACCAGTTCACCACTAGACCTATCTATGTGCCAAGTTTGGTTAAGATATCTATCATGTTTTTTTAGTTCTTCTCCGGAAACGAAATGTGACAGAAGGACGAACGAACAGCACCCATTCCTTGATCCCCATTCCACTTTGTGAAGGGGGATAATAAACGGAAATGAAAGCAGGTTAACTTTCAAAGGGTAAGTGTGTGAGTACCGGTAACCCTGCTTTGCACAGTATTTTGGTTATATCACATCCTAATATGCCAGGAAAGACTGGAAAGTGAGGCAGGTCTCAGAACTTATGAGAGACAAATAATCAATAACACGGGACTGCCAGACAACCACTTAATTCATTCCACCGGTCCTTGAGGATTAGACTGGGGTCAACGGACAATTTGTGTCAAGCTTTGCACAACCAGTTCCAGGGCAGGAAATGGACTAGGAGCTACATCAAAACCTAGTTAACAGAACTGGAATGTCTACATTCAGGGGAATCAACCTAATATGTACCTATTCGAAAGATACCTTGATCCATGTAATTCAAGTAAAGGTATGAATATGATGGGTGTTTTATGGTATTTAGTTCATATTCCAATAGTCTTAAATAGAAAAAGAGCAGATACTAATTTTAAGGCAAAACATACATCCTTGTACCTGCCTCGTATTGTGACTACACAAGTATTATTACATATTATACTCAGTCACATGGTCAATGTATTGGCAGTGAGTGAGTGAGTGATTATTGCTTAATGAAACATCACCAATTTTGCAGCTATTTGTGCCGAGACTGGTAATGAGTTAATGTGTGTAATGGAACCTGAACCACAAGTTGAGATTCTTGGCTCAGCTTATGAGAGCCTATGTGTAACAGGTCTCTTGAAAAACGATGCAGCAAGCACATATTCAGACAGGTACAAGTACAAGTAGACACCAAAGAGTTTGGCACAAATCATGAAGTTGACTGGTTTTGTTTTACATGAGTGAGTGAGTGAGTTGGGTTTAACACCGCTTTTATCAGTATTCCAGCCATATCGCGGCGTGTCAGCTTAATGTGGGAGGAAAGCCCGAAGTGATGCAGGTTTCAGACGTTTACCACTTCGGTGAAACCCGCGAGCACGGGTATGGTGCTGACAAACCTAGAAACATAACTGGGGTGAACCGGGATTCGAACCCACAATCATAGGTTTCTGGCGTGCCCAAGGGATGCAACTCTGCACAGCAAATCCTGGCGCCTTAGACGACTGGGCCTGCTTTACATGACACACATCACAGGGTCAGTGAGCTGAGAGATGATCGGACAGGTGTCACTGCCAGCTGTTCATCTGATGCCTTCTTACATTTCGGGGGTGACATAAACTCAGCAGTGTTATCATTCTGTCTCCGCTTGAGACTGTCCATCTCTTGTCCAGACGTGGAAGGTCGGACTTCCAAAGGGAGACTACTCCCATGGCACTTGCTCGGCGTGACATTGCCTTGCTCTAGTGGTGGTTCAGTACTGTAGGCCATGTCTGACTGGTCAAGACTGAGGCCGAAAGAGTCATTGACCTGGCACACCCAACTGTCATCACTGTCAAACAGAGACCTCTCCCCGTCTGATGGACTGAGTGGATTGTCTCCCTTGGCTGTCATCTCCTGGTGGCCTCGTAAGCTGTCAGCGATGTTCCTAACACATGACTGAAAGAAATGAATACCAAAATTGATACAAGAAAAAAACCTCGAAGAAAACACAAGCCAGTTAATATGTGATGGATAGCATGCTCAAGGCAATGTTTTAATACAAACCCTACAGATTGCTTTAAAAACTATAATATGGCAATACAACCACATTGCCTACCTACCTAAGTCTAAACCTACCTGTACACACTGTGTAAATCTACCTGTAAACACTGTGTAAATGACCTACCTGTAAACACTGTAAATGTCCTACCTGTAAACACTGTGTAAATGACCTACCTGTAAACACTGTGTAAATGACCTACCTATAAATACTGTGTAAATGACCTATCTGTAAACACTGTGTAAATGACCTACCTGTAAATACTGTGTAAATGACCTATCTGTAAACACTGTGTAAATGACCTACCTGTAAACACTGTGTAAATGACCTATCTGTAAACACTGTGTAAATGACCTATCTGTTAATACTGTGTAAATGACCTACCTGTTAATACTGTGTACATGACCTACCTGTAAACACGGAACAGACAGTGACCTACCTGTAAACACTGTGTAAATGACCTACCTGTAAACACTGTGTAAATGACCTACCTGTAAACACTATGTAGATGACCTACCTGTAAACACTGAACATAAAATGATCTACCTGTAAACACTGTGTAAATGACCTGCCTATAAACACGGAACAGACAGTGACCTACCTGGACTATTTTCTCCCGAGGTCGGAGGTGGTCCTGCAGCTTCACCTGGAGGGTGGTCTGCCTGGGGAACACCTTGCGCACGATGATGGTGTTGAGCGTTGCAGGGCTCCCCACTACGTACACGGACTGACGTCCTCTTGTGATGGCTGTGTACACATGCTGCCAGTTCTCGTAGAAGTTATTCGGACTCAGGATGTACACCACTGACTGAGATTCAGAGCCCTGGAAAAACACAATCAGTTACACATACAGACAACTTTCCTTGCTCCTAAATGCCTCTCCCCGTCTTCAACAATAGTAAATGTACTAGTGAGTCAGTCTTTGCACATCATTTCTCTTGTACTATGACTTATTTAATACAGGATATAAGGCGATGAGGCCGAAAGCTATGAATACACAATGCCATTTAGAAAGTGGTGAAATGTAACAAATGTTACATTTGGGGTTCAACCCCAAAAAGTACGAGAATCTGTACTTTACTAAGAAAGTGTTATCCCAAATACAACATTTGTTACATTTCACCACTATCTAAATGGCATTGTGTATTCATAGCTTTCAGCCATGGGAGCCGTGCCAATTTACACTTGTCAGAGGGGTACACAAAGAACGTGATCTAGACTACCATTTGTCGGACTTTCATTTTTGTGGAAGCCTCGGTGTCTGAATGGGTTAGATCGCTGACTTTGTGTGCTGGCGATTAGGTGCCTCACTCTTGCAGTGTGGGTTCGAATCCCGGACGGGATCAATCCCCCAAAAGTACGAGATTCTGTACTTTAATAAGAAAGTGTTATCCCAAATATAACATTTGTCACATTTGATCATGTTCTAAATGGCATTGTGTATTCATTAAAATAACATGGTTTCTGATCATCCAAATGCTTGCAGGACAAAATGTGGCCAACCATCGAAAACAAAATAAAGATGCACACCACTGCATCAGACTCTATTGACAGACACTGTATGAACTACTGGGGGCTCTGGGGCTCACAACTACAGATTCTGAACTGTTTCCTCTGTTGTACTTGGGACAGTTGACGGCTGAAGTTTTACTTGAACTTTTGACAGTGATTTTAATCCACAATTACCAATGTTTAGTTTTTGTATAATCAACTGAATAAAGGAAATGAAATTTTTTTTATTGGTGGTAATTGTCCTAGTTGTCAACTATCCAGTGGTAATTGTCTGGATGGCAATTGTCCGGGTGTCAACTATCCAGTGGTAATTGTCTGGATGGCAATTGTCCGGGTGTCAACTGTCATGTGGTAATTGTCTGGATGGCAATTGTCCGGGTGTCAACTATCCAGTGGTAATTGTCTGGATGGCAATTGTCTGGGTGGCAACTGTCCTGCTCCTGTGCAGATACTAACACCTCAGGCACATAGCTGCACGCTGTGATTCCGTAGTTGCCTTGGCCACTGGTGCTCCCCAAGAACCCAATATATACATACTAATTGCTGTCCCTCACATTACTGACAAAGAGATCAGCGCCTAGACTAAATGTCACTATCTTGTCCACACAGAGGTCTCATCTTTACTCTGCCTTGAAATGACCCATAATCAAACTTTGAAACTTTTTTTTTATTCCAGCAGGATTGATAGGCTTCACTTGCTTCATAACGGTGTTGGAACAGTGTCCTCCCATTAGTTAGACGTCCCAATAGTTAGACAGCTTATAACAACACTTTAAACGGTTGAGTGCACACTAATCCTTATGCTTGTTACCTCAGACTTTAAAATGGAATAGTCCAGATAAGATCTGACAAACAAAGCAAAGCAGCTTTAAATAGATAGTTTAATATTATACTTCACATTTAATGACACTTTACATTTAATAAATTTTATACAGTTTTTAACAACACTTTGTGACAGTTTTTGATAATGTAAACGTTACATTTAATAACTTTTACAGTTTTATCCCAAACGAGTGAGTGAGTGATATGGTTTTACGCCGCTTTTAGCAATATTCCAGCAATATCACGGCGGGGGACACCAGAAATTGGCTTCAGACAATGTACCCATGTCGGGATTCCGCCCTTATCCCAAACGAAGCAAGTGTCCACAAGCATCTAAATACTCAATAGCAGACTTGTCACCCTGCTGCAGCTGATCTTTGAGGCGTACCAGGCGGTTCTCTGTCTCTCTGTAGATTCTCTTGCGGCAGCGTGGTGCCGCACCAAAGTTCAATTGCATCACCTTAGTCCTTTCACTGAACTCGACTTTCTGGATGACTTCAATGAATCTGTAGATGTTAGGGTGAACATGTGGCAGTAGGTGGTTCAGTCGGCTGTGGAATCCTTCAAGGTTGTTGTTGGTTCTGGGTCCATCAGTTTCGAAATGGTTCCACATGCGCATTGAGAATCTGGCGTCATCATCCACCCAGGTTCTCACAATATAGTCGTTAAAGTCCACAGCTCTAGGCACATCTGGTGTCGACTCCATAGCTTGAACCCATGCATCCTGAACAAAGGGAATGGGCAGCAGAGCTAGCCCAGCTGCTCGTCGAATCCACTGGGTCACGGTTTCTGTTGTAAAGATATCCATCTGATATCAACTGCTTACTTCCACGCCGAGAGGTGATGTACTCTACTTTCCTTAAACCAGCCATCATCGATACTGATAATGGTACGTACCCCAAGATCATTTTTATTTGTTTGATGAGTAGATAATCTCAACTCAACTCCTTCAACGGATCATACAGTAAGACAATTAAGCTACTCCATTGTTTACATAGTTAATCTCATGCCTATTGAACCTGTGCTGAGAGTAAGGTATTTTAGATTAATTAAAGGAAATTGTAACATATATACTCCCTAAACTGTGAGTCCCCTATCCCTACTCAGTACTTTAATCTAATAAGGACTGATCCATTACACCTGTAGGTATAATCCCTCTTTGCCTAGGTAAAATTGTCTAACAATTGGGACGTCTAACTAATGGGACGTCTAACTAATGGGATATAACCGTTGGAACCTACATCGAAATGTTGATCTCAATTGTAATAAAGAAGTCGTTCATCCATAAATTCTCATCCTTAAATACCGTTCTGCTAATTAGCACTAATTGGCTACAAAGATCAATCGATGTCTATCTTTATAATGGCACAGATTGTGGTTTGGGTTTGGGTTTGGGGGTTGAACCAGCGCCACTAAAATTGATAACGGAAATATCTTACAATGAGAAAAAGATATTGTTCACGTTATATCAAGGTTACCTGACATCCCCACTAGCGATACTCTTGACATACATGGAATCCATACAGGTATTATATATAAAACACAGATCTCTCCACTATTAATGAAACGATCGCATATATTACCTGGAAAGTGTGTCACTGTGATGAGCTGGTTACCTGGAATGTGTGTCACTGTGACGAGCTGGTTACCTGGAAAGTGTGTCACTGTGATGAGCTGGTTACCTGGAATGTGTGTCACTGTGACCAGCTGGTTACCTGGAATGTGTGTCACTGTGATGAGCTGGTTACCTGGAATGTGTGTCACTGTGACGAGCTGGTTACCTGGAATGTGTGTCACTGTGACGAGCTGGTTACCTGGAATGTGTGTCACTGTGACGAGCTGGTTACCTGGAATGTGTGTGTGTGACGGTCTGGTTACTTGGAATGTGTGTAACTGTGATGAGCTGCTTACACTGGAATGTGTGTAATTGTGACGGTCTGGTTACCTTGAATGTGTGTAACTGTGACGAGCCGATTACCTTGAATGTGTGTCACTGTGACGAGCTGGTTACCTGGAATGTGTGTGTGTGACGGTCTGGTTACTTGGAATGTGTGTAACTGTGACGAGCTGCTTACACTGGAATGTGTGTCACTGTGATGAGCTGGTTACCTGGAATGTGTGTAACTGTGACGAGCTGCTTACACTGGAATGTGTGTCACTGTGATGAGCTGGTTACCTGGAATGTGTGTAACTGTGACGAGCTGCTTACACTGGAATGTGTGTCACTGTGAGGAGCTGGTTACCTGGAATGTGTGTCACTGTGACAAGCTGGTTACCGGGAATGTGTGTAACTGTGATGAGCCTATAACCTTGAATGTGTGTCACTGTGATGAGCTGGTTACCGGGAATGTGTGTGTGACGGTCTGGTTACTTGGAATGTGTGTCATTGTGAGGAACTGGTTACCTGGAATGTGTGTCACTGTGACAAGCCGATTACCTGGAATGTGTGTCACTGTGATGAGCTGGTTACCTGGAATGTGTGTCACTGTGATGAGCTGGTTACTTGGAATATGTGTAACTGTGACGAGCTGCTTACACTGGAATGTGTGTCACTGTGATGAGCTGGTTACCTGGAATGTGTGTCACTGTGATGAGCTGGTTACCTGGAATGTGTGTCACTGTGATGAGCTGGTTACCTGGAATGTGTGTCACTGTGACAAGCTGGTTACCGGGAATGTGTGTAACTGTGATGAGCCTATAACCTTGAATGTGTGTCACTGTGATGAGCTGGTTACCGGGAATGTGTGTGTGACGGTCTGGTTACTTGGAATGTGTGTCATTGTGACGAACTGGTTACCTGGAATGTGTGTGTGTGACGGTCTGGTTACTTGGAATGTGTGTCACTGTGATGAGCTGGTTACCTGGAATGTGTGTAACTGTGACGAGCTGCTTACACTGGAATGTGTGTCACTGTGATGAGCTGGTTACCTGGAATGTGTGTAACTGTGACGAGCTGCTTACACTGGAATGTGTGTCACTGTGACGAGCTGGTTACCTGGAATGTGTGTCACTGTGACAAGCTGGTTACCGGGAATGTGTGTAACTGTGATGAGCCTATAACCTTGAATGTGTGTCACTGTGATGAGCTGGTTACCGGGAATGTGTGTGTGACGGTCTGGTTACTTGGAATGTGTGTCATTGTGAGGAACTGGTTACCTGGAATGTGTGTCACTGTGACAAGCCGATTACCTGGAATGTGTGTCACTGTGATGAGCTGGTTACCTGGAATGTGTGTCACTGTGATGAGCTGGTTACTTGGAATATGTGTAACTGTGACGAGCTGCTTACACTGGAATGTGTGTCACTGTGATGAGCTGGTTACCTGGAATGTGTGTCACTGTGATGAGCTGGTTACCTGGAATGTGTGTCACTGTGATGAGCTGGTTACCTGGAATGTGTGTCACTGTGACAAGCTGGTTACCGGGAATGTGTGTAACTGTGATGAGCCTATAACCTTGAATGTGTGTCACTGTGATGAGCTGGTTACCGGGAATGTGTGTGTGACGGTCTGGTTACTTGGAATGTGTGTCATTGTGACGAACTGGTTACCTGGAATGTGTGTGTGTGACGGTCTGGTTACTTGGAATGTGTGTCACTGTGACGAGCTGGTTACCTGGAATGTGTGTGTGTGACGGTTTGGCTACCTTGAATGTGTGTGAGTGTGACGGTTTGGTTCCCTTGAATGTGTGTGAGTGTGACGAGCTGGTTACCTGGAATGTGTGTGAGTGTGACGAGCTGGTTACTTGGAATGTGTGTGAGTGTGACAGTCTGGTTACCCTGAATGTGTGTCACTGTGTCGAGCTGGTTACCTGGAATGTGTGTATAGTCCTGACCCACGCATGCTTCATCTTACAGCTCTTCATCAGCTGTTTGTAGTTGGCACACACACGGCGGGGGCGTTCCTCGTCTCTGTCACACAAAAATATGTAGCGACTCGCCTTGTTACGGTTGTCAAAGATAGACAGCTCCTGGAATAAACAAATGTCACAGGTAACATTCTTCTATACTTGAGAAAGAAAGAAATCTATTAAATGGGTTATTGTTCTGATTGTGGAAACTGACAGATTACTGAATTACAGTAACTATTAACAATCTTTCATGCCAATTAGTTAGGACCCATTATCTCTGTTCACACTATACTTGAGAAAGAAAGAAATCTATTAAATGGGTTATTCTTCTGATTGTGGAAACTGACAGATTACTGAATTACAGTAACTATTAACAATCTTTTATGCCAATTAGTTAGGACCCATTATCTCTGTTCACACCAAGGTCCTATGTCTGAAGGTGTGAATGCTCCTGTTTTTGTGGCAGTCAGCAATATTACAGCTATATATAAGATAGCTTTGCTAAAAAAAGCAAAGAACAATTAAGACCGAAGTGTATTGTTATGTCATTTTTGGAGATTCGAATATGTGCTTGCAACTTGATGATGTCATATATTGGACGATGTTATTTTTGAGAGGGAGGTGTCCTGTAAGTTATTCCCCATGGATGTAGCTGGGCTGCGCAGATAAACGCAGGGGCCGAACGATCACATCCAAAAGTGGGATAGATTTGTCAATCGGTATCAGGAGAAAAAGTACAGATAACTGAAACGAGGATTGTGAGAATATGCGGGAAATACCAAACTTAACCCACCTGTTCGGAAAATGAATTTCGGAAGTCGGATTCTATTCAAGGAGTCATCATTATTTAAATTTGGGTAAATATTTTTAAAGTTTGTACATTTGATCAACATCCTTAAAGAGGCTGTACATAATGTTGATATCTCATGTAAGAAATAAACGACTCGTGGTCATTGTTTATTGTACAATAAAACACTGCAGGGAGAATAAACCATGAGGGGCTGCAGTGTTTTATTGTACGATAAACTATGACCACAAGTTGTTTATTTATTAAAATATAGTGGCCATTAAATGATCTAATCTGTGTCAAAATGATCAAAATTGGTTGTTGGTAGCAAAAGTAACAAGTCACACTGTCAAAAAATGCAGGGATGGATTACCTTGGGCTAATAACATTAAAAACCTTCTTGGCCGTAGGGCCTGTAAGCTTTTGACACATGCTGTAAATTATCTATCGTCATCTCAATTCTATATTGGCTTGTAACCTTTTCAGGTCAAGCAGAAATAAAAAGGCCACTTGCCCTGTGGGCTTGTTTGGTTTCTGAGTCAATTTCCATCCCTGATGTGAAGATACACATTACAATACCCTTAACTACAAGACCTGTGAAGATCCGGGGTAGAATAGGTCTTCAGCAACCCATTCTTGCCTTAAAAGGCGACTATGCTTGTCGTAAGAGGGACATACGGGATCGGGTGGTCAGGCTCGCTGACTTGGTTGAAGCATGTCATCAATCCCAATTGTGTGGCTTGATGCTCATGATATCAATCACTGGATTGTCTGGTTGAGACTCGATTATTTATAGACCGCCGTCATATAGCTGGAATATTGCTGAGTGCGGCGTAAAACAACAAACCAACCAATCTTTTTGAAACCTTTGTGTTGCAAGAGGAGAGGATAATTGTTGCGATATATAGCTTGAATATTGCTGAGAGCAAAAATAACAAAGCAACCAACCAACCAATCTTAACTACAACTTCTCATAAGCTCAAAAGATCTCTTTTCAAGTAGAGGTAGAAACAAATTTTTTAATTTAGGCTCATGGTTCTTTACCTTTTCTACGTAGAAGATCTCGCCATTGCAGAGTTTGACATCTCTCTTAGATATTGACTCCTGTGGAGTGCTGCCATCTATCTCTTCTTCAGTATGGGCTTCAGGAACACCTGCTGGTGGGACATAGATTGAATTATCTCCCCCTGGTTGATGGGTAGAGACAGAGTTGTCTCCCCCTTGTGGAGCCAGCTGTCTTCCAATAGTACTGCTAGATCTGTTCTGAGACAATGTCACATTCTTATCACTGACATGATTTGTCACAGGCTTCCCTGCGATCACATCTACACCTTTCCTTGTATCTCCATGAAACATTTCCAGAAAACCACTCGCATCAGTCCTCAGCCGACTTGACCTTCCTGTCTGAGTGTCAAGGTCATCACCATCATCATCACTGAGAAATGTGGAATCTTCCAACTGGCTGTCTTCCCTGCCTGCAGCATTGATGAGATCATCTAGTGCCTCCATGTACGTCTGGGAGGCAGCAGACGTCTCCAGGGAACTGTTCAAGATGTCCTCTCCCTCACCAAGGTCCTCAACATGGCTCCTGTCTTGATTGTTCTCTCGACTTTTCAGAGCAGTGTATCTAGAACCTGGTTTATTGTTATCACATATATCATATTCATTGAGTCTCTCCATCTTTCCCACACCGTATCCATCGTGGCGGCCATCTTGTCTTGCTGTGATCCCCTCCAGTTGCATGTTGAGGTTCCGTTTCACAGATGTCGTCTGTCCTCTCTCAAGGTTGTGTGGTCCAGGACTCGCATCCTCTCCTTCAGCTTTGTCAGCATTCTCCTCCTCTGTCTTTTTTTTTGGTTTTATTTTCTTGAAGTGGTGAGATACTGTGCCATTTCTTGTCATACACACTTTATCACCTGGTTGGAAGTCTAATTTGCCAGTGTGTGCTTTCAGTAAGTGTTTGTTGTAGTGTCTGCAGCACAGTTCATTCACTGCCTCGCAATCTCGTCTGTAGGCAAGGAGAAAACGTAGGTGAAATATACTGCTTAGAGTTGAAACTACATGACACAACTGGAATTGGGTTACATAACCTAAATATAGGACCTTGGGACACTTTCTGCCCAGAAAAAGAGGGTCTTTTGGGTTTATTTTGGCACCAAGGCAGGGCATACGGAGAGTCATGCATTGGTTCCTGCAGAGAGTACCTTGTGGAGTAAAAGAACCGAGTGGGCGGGTGGGCTGGTACCTTGTCAAGGTCACAAACTGTGAGTGAGTGAGTGAGTGAGTGAGTGAGTGAGTGAGTGAGTGAGTGAGTGAGTATGGGTGGGTTGGTAAATTAGTCAGTGAGGAAGGGGGGAAGGGGAGAAGGGAGGGAGTGAGGGAGCAAGTACCTGGTGAAGGCCACAGACTGATCGAGAGAGGGAGGGAGGGAGGGAGGGAGGGAGCAAGTACCTGATGAAGGCCACAGACTGATCGAGAGAGGGAGGGAGTGAGGGAGGGCAGGAGCAAGTACCTGATGAAGGCCACAGACTGATCGAGAGAGGGAGGGAGTGAGGGAGGGAGGGCAGGAGCAAGTACCTGGTGAAGGCCACAGACTGATCGAGAGAGGGAGGGAGTGAGGGAGGGAGGGAGCAAGTACCTGGTAAAGGCCACAGACTGATCGAGAGAGGGAGGGAGTGAGGGAGGGCAGGAGCAAGTACCTGATGAAGGCCACAGACTGATCGAGAGAGGGAGGGAGTGAGGGAGGAGTGAGCAAGTATCTGATGAAGGCCACAGACTGATCGAGAGAGGGAGTGAGGGAGGGAGGGAGCAAGTACCTGGTGAAGGCCACAGACTGATCGAGAGAGGGAGTGAGGGAGGGCAGGAGCAAGTACCTGATGAAGGCCACAGACTGATCGAGAGAGGGAGTGAGGGAGAAGGGAGCAAGTACCTGATGAAGGCCACAGACTGATCGAGAGAGGGAGTGAGGGAGGGAGGGAGCAAGTACCTGGTGAAGGCCACAGACTGATCGAGAGAGGGAGTGAGTGAGGGAGGGCAGGAGCAAGTACCTGATGAAGGCCACAGACTGATCGAGAGAGGGAGGGAGTGAGGGAGGAGTGAGCAAGTATCTGATGAAGGCCACAGACTGATCGAGAGAGGGAGTGAGGGAGGGAGGGAGCAAGTACCTGGTGAAGGCCACAGACTGATCGAGAGAGGGAGGGAGTGAGGGAGGGAGGGAGCAAGTACCTGATGAAGGCCACAGACTGATCGAGAGAGGGAGTGAGGGAGGGCAGGAGCAAGTACCTGATGAAGGCCACAGACTGATCGAGAGAGGGAGTGAGGGAGGGCGGGAGCAAGTACCTGATGAAGGCCACAGACTGATCGAGAGAGGGAGTGAGGGAGGGCAGGAGGCAGCAAGTACCTGGTGAAGGCCACAGACTGATCGAGAGAGGGAGGGAGTGAGGGAGCAAGTACCTGGTGAAGGCCACAGACTGATCGAGAGAGGGAGTGAGGGAGGGCAGGAGGCAGCAAGTACCTGGTGAAGGCCACAGACTGATCGAGAGAGGGAGGGAGTGAGGGAGCAAGTACCTGGTGAAGGCCACAGACTGATCGAGAGAGGGAGTGAGGGAGGGCAGGAGGCAGCAAGTACCTGGTGAAGGCCACAGACTGATCGAGAGAGGGAGGGAGTGAGGGAGGAGGGAGCAAGTACCTGGTGAAGGCCACAGACTGATCGAGAGAGGGAGGGAGTGAGGGAGCAAGTACCTGGTGAAGGCCACAGACTGATCGAGAGAGGGAGTGAGGGAGGGCAGGAGGCAGCAAGTACCTGGTGAAGGCCACAGACTGATCGAGAGAGGGAGGGAGGGAGGGAGGAGGGAGCAAGTACCTGGTGAAGGCCACAGACTGATCGAGAGAGGGAGGGAGTGAGGGAGGGAGGGCAGGAGCAAGTACCTGGTGAAGGCCACAGACTGATCGAGAGAGGGAGGGAGTGAGGGAGAAGGGAGCAAGTACCTGGTGAAGGCCACAGACTGATCGAGAGAGGGAGGGAGTGAGGGAGAAGGGAGCAAGTACCTGGTGAAGGCCACAGACTGATCGAGAGAGGGAGGGAGTGAGGGAGGGAGGGCAGGAGCAAGTACCTGGTGAAGGCCACAGACTGATCGAGAGAGGGAGGGAGTGAGGGAGGAGGGAGCAAGTACCTGGTGAAGGCCACAGACTGATCGAGAGAGGGAGGGAGTGAGGGAGGGCAGGAGGCAGCAAGTACCTGGTGAAGGCCACAGACTGATCGAGAGAGGGAGGGAGTGAGGGAGGGAGGGCAGGAGCAAGTACCTGGTGAAGGCCACAGACTGATCGAGAGAGGGAGGGAGTGAGGGAGGGAGGGCAGGAGCAAGTACCTGGTGAAGGCCACAGACTGATCGAGAGAGGGAGAGAGGGAGGGAGGGAGGAGGGAGCAAGTACCTGGTGAAGGCCACAGACTGATCGAGAGAGGGAGGGAGTGAGGGAGGGCAGGAGGCAGCAAGTACCTGGTGAAGGCCACAGACTGATCGAGAGAGGGAGGGAGTGAGGGAGGGAGGGCAGGAGCAAGTACCTGGTGAAGGCCACAGACTGATCGAGAGAGGGAGGGAGTGAGGGAGGGAGGGCAGGAGCAAGTACCTGGTGAAGGCCACAGACTGATCGAGAGAGGGAGTGAGGGAGGGAGGGCAGGAGCAAGTACCTGGTGAAGGCCACAGACTGATCGAGAGAGGGAGAGAGGGAGGGAGGGAGGAGGGAGCAAGTACCTGGTGAAGGCCACAGACTGATCGAGAGAGGGAGTGAGGGAGGGAGGGCAGGAGCAAGTACCTGGTGAAGGCCACAGACTGATCGAGAGAGGGAGAGAGGGAGGGAGGGCAGGAGGCAGCAAGTACCTGGTGAAGGCCACAGACTGATCGAGAGAGGGAGTGAGGGAGGGAGGGCAGGAGCAAGTACCTGGTGAAGGCCACAGACTGATCGAGAGAGGGAGAGAGGGAGGGAGGGAGGAGGGAGCAAGTACCTGGTGAAGGCCACAGACTGATCGAGAGAGGGAGGGAGTGAGGGAGCAAGTACCTGGTGAAGGCCACAGACTGATCGAGAGAGGGAGGGAGTGAGGGAGGGCAGGAGGCAGCAAGTACCTGGTGAAGGCCACAGACTGATCGAGAGAGGGAGGGAGTGAGGGAGGGCAGGAGGCAGCAAGTACCTGGTGAAGGCCACAGACTGATCGAGAGAGGGAGGGAGTGAGGGAGGGAGGGAGCAAGTACCTGGTGAAGGCCACAGACTGATCGAGAGAGGGAGGGAGTGAGGGAGGGAGGGCAGGAGCAAGTACCTGGTGAAGGCCACAGACTGATCGAGAGAGGGAGGGAGTGAGGGAGGAGGGAGCAAGTACCTGGTGAAGGCCACAGACTGATCGAGAGAGGGAGGGAGTGAGGGAGGGAGGGCGGGAGCAAGTACCTGGTGAAGGCCACAGACTGATCGAGAGAGGGAGGGAGTGAGGGAGGGAGGGAGCAAGTACCTGGGGAAGGCCACAGACTGATTGAGAGAGGGAGGGAGGGAGGGAGTGAGGGAGGAGGGAGCAAGTACCTGGTGAAGGCCACAGACTGATCGAGAGAGGGAGGGAGTGAGGGAGGGAGTGAGGGAGCAAGTACCTGGTGAAGGCCACAGACTGATCGAGAGAGGGAGGGAGTGAGGGAGGGCGGGAGCAAGTACCTGGTGAAGGCCACAGACTGATCGAGAGAGGGAGGGAGTGAGGGAGGGAGGGAGCAAGTACCTGATGAAGGCCACAGACTGATCGAGAGAGGGAGGGAGTGAGGGAGGGCAGGAGCAAGTACCTGATGAAGGCCACAAACTGATCGAGAGAGGGAGGGAGGGAGGGAGGAGGGAGCAAGTACCTGATGAAGGCCACAAACTGATCGAGAGAGGGAGGGAGTGAGGGAGGGAGGGAGCAAGTACCTGGGGAAGGCCACAGACTGATCGAGAGAGGGAGGGAGGGAGGGAGGGAGGGAGGAGGGAGCAAGTACCTGGTGAAGGCCACAAACTGGGAGGTGATGGGGTCCTGTAGGTCTTTGCTTCTGGTCAGCAGCGTCCGTACAATAGTGTCCCGACCTGGACAACAAAGAGGACATTGCAGCAGTGGCCAGTCCAGCTGACAGATACACTACGACCAGGCTTCTGGACCTGTGCTTCTGGCCACCTTAACACTGAATACTTAAAACTTAGCTGGCAATCGAACTGAAGTGTCTGTACATGATATGTCTCCTATAATTAATTTTGGTAGCTGAAATTGAAATTTCAAATCCATAAAAATATGTTTAAGTACTCATTGAGAAACTTGGTCCAGACTTTCATGATAACTGACATTCTGACCAATTTGATCAGTTACTGTCATTTGTTTGTTTCAATTTTCAAAACGTATCAATATTTCTAGAAATTAATTAAATCCTCATTGGAAACCAAACATTCCCACCAGACCAATATTGCTGTTTATCAAACTTGACTAATCTTGTACAAGGGATAAGAAGAAGTGTTGGGCTAAAACCCAAGAGTAATCCCTGGTATCTGGATGGCTCTCATCGGACACTAAACGCTGATCCACTGAACTAAAATGGATCTTTGATCTCAAAACCATCCCCAGCAAGGCATGGACGACAAGATCTAATCTTGGAGGTCCCCCCTCCCTTCCATAATCTTGTATAAGGACTTGTCTTAATATCAAACATGGTAACAATTAATCAATACCTGCTAAAATTTTAACTTTATGTTCCAATATTCCTGACAATTTATCCCTCTTCTACAGAAATACTTTATCCAACTTGCTAGATAAAGAGATTGTTGTCATGAAAATGATGACAAATCAGCTACCTTGTTGATCCTCTTCCTCCGGCTGCAACAGATGAAACCTTCTTGAGGCGTCAAACACTGGGTTCTTCTGAGCAGCTATCCTGGTCGCGTTCTGCACAATCAGCTCGGACTCAGCTCGATGGTTTGTCTGCAGCTCGATACTAAACCCGAGTGGAGCCAGCACTGTGAATATGTCCCCCAGGAAGTTGCCGGGCTCGATGGACGGCAACTGTCTCACGTCCCCCAACAGGATGATCTTCTTCAGGTGGCACTCCTTCAGCAGGATGTTCAACACGGTGGCGAAAGTCCCCACTGACACCAGACTACACTCATCCACAACCAGCATCTCCTTGTCCGCGTGAGTCCACGTCGACTCTTCCCCTCCTTCCCCCTTAGCTTTCTTTTCATTCTTCCTGATACAAAACATCTTAAAACTCATGATGACGCTGTGGAGGGTGCAGGACTTCAACTGAGCTTTCCTGCCCAGCAAGTTGGCTGCCTTCCCAGTTGGAGCGGTCAACAGGACCTTCTGTCCGAGCACGGTTTTGGACAAGTATGTGTCTGCCTCGTCCTGGTTGCCATCTTTGGTCATGGCTTCACTCTCTGTCTGTGTTGTGGTGAATGTTGCGTCCCCAATCCCAGACATGTGCCTTGTTCTGTCCAGTTTCGATGGCGTTCTGCTGGTGTTCTGATCTTCCTCCTTTGGTTCTGTATCAGGTCTGGTTTGTTGGAATGAATGTCAATAAGTGATTATCAAAAAGCATTACTAGTCAAGTTTCAAAGTCAGATTAACAGTGCATCTACATGGATTCCTAAGTGACAAACATGTCGTGAATTGCCTTACATCAAAATTATCAAAATTGATTCAATCAATACAGGCGATGTTTGCATTTCTTGAGGGAACAAAAATATGTATGATAATCATAAAGACAGAATCAGATTTTCTTGGTCAATATGCCAAGATGTAAGAGACAATACAGACTGAGTCCACAATGCTGCAGTTACTTTGAGGTCTTCTTTCTTGAAACAACCCTAACTATTGACATAACAGCTTTTAAATAATAACCTTAGGAAGTTCTGAAGGTAGGATTACTAGCAGAATACCCCATTCACAACAAGAGAGAAATAAGCACCAAATGTAGACCTGAACACAAGGATATATTACTTTGGGGCTTTTCCACTGCGGACACAGGCATGACTGAGAAGCTTGGTGACGACGGATGTCTTGCCACACCCTCCTTTCCCAGACAGGACAGTGATTGGAGAGTTGACCATCAGGTGGACGGCGGTCCACTGATCTCTGTCTGTCCTGGTACTGTCAAAGTCATCACTGAGAAGTAAACAGAAAGTACCGTAAATAATTAGCTGCCGTTTTATGTGTTTAATATCTTGATATATGTAACATAAACGAATAACAAAAATAACGTTTTGAAATAATGCAATCAATGATCAGTAGCAAATATGAAATTTTCAATATGGACGCAAAAGTGGAGTTGAGGCAGATCTAACAGAGTGAGAGAGCAAGTACTGTTTTCCACTGGTCAACAGTCTGGTATTGTAGTAATGGGTCATGAAGATTTTTCAATACTACTTTCTCAGTGTTCACTGGAATGCTTAGATCTTTCAGATAAAAATATAAGTGAAATCTAAATATATATTTTTATATTTGCATTCTTATCCTTCATTACTCTTTAATGCAATTACTGCTGTTTTGAGACAGAAGTTCTGTGTGAAGTCGAGCTTAAAAAGAATTTGAGAATCATGGTCAGATCCCAAGCAGGAGGTCTGAACTTGGCCTTCTGATCTTGTAGTTTGAATGAGTGGAGCAATGCTTGGTGTTTTGGGTTCTGTGTCAGGAGGGCCACCAGGTGGGTAGTAATGGTGCTACCCTTGAGGTGTCGTTTGCTGCACAAGAACAGAAGGGAATTCGGCCAAGAAACAGGGAGACGCAGAAGTAGGGTCCTGATGCTTCTCCTTACAAAAGGACTCAAAGGATCGCCACATGTCGTCTTATAGTCCCCGGGTAGCACCATGGCTATGGCTTTGGCTGCTCTAGCAGAGTAGCCTTTGGGGCCTTAGGCTCATTGATAATGATAAGGAAATTGTTGGTCCTGAGCAGCCTCAGCATTGTCATCTGGAAATACGGCGGGCATTCCAGATAACGCTCATTGAATACTGACAGATCCGTATGGGAGAGTAGGAGCCTGGTGTTATGGCTGGGGCGTGTACAATCTCTTTGTTTGGTAACATGTTGATGTTGTCTAACAGAGGTTGATGTTGATTTTGAGGGTAAACGTCTGCCTGGGGTGAGGTAGTGAGAGTCGGTAGTCAGATTGGTTAGCAGTGATAACCAATACCCCTGGTGGAGGATGTTGGTCACATAAGGGTCCTCAATGATGGCCCAATTATGCCCAAATCAGCCTAGCTCCCACCTACAGGGATGTCGATGTCTGGAATGACTAGGGGTGGAAGTTCCCATTCGTCGATGTCTAGTGCTTCAGCGATCCCCTCTGCGTTCACCACCCTTGCCCTTGTACTTGCCCTGTTGTCTTACTCTACCCTGTCCTTTGCCATGAAAAGACGGGGTATCCTGGGGGTGGTCCTTGAAAGAGGCCGTCGTGGCAGATAGTTCCCAGCCTTTGAGAACTTGTGGGACGCATGCTAGGACACATGTTCTAAGGCATTGAGTGCCCGGAGGTGCAGGCGCTGATGGCAGATGATATGCTTGGGCAAGCGTCGGCATCAAGAAAATCGAAGGCATATGTGTGGTCCGCAGTGCATGGGGATGCGAAGGCATCTGCCTAGATTTTGGTCTCAGAGGCAAAGGTGAGGCAGGGCTCTTAGGCGTAGGGGATGAGGGCAGCTTCCAGCCAGAAGTGGAAAGTATGGATATGATGCTATGTGTGGCAGGGATCTCTTGAAAGTCCAACATCCTAGGGTGTCTGAGGGCCTGCTACTTAAGGCGCTTCGGAGATACCTGGAGGTACTTGGAGAAGCATGGGGGAGAGGAGGGGTGTGCAGAAGCTACACTTTGTAGCCACAGCACAAAGGTCTGTTCAGACCAGACACAGGGGATGGGAATCCCTGCTAGACTTCTTACACTGGCAGTGATTACAACGAGGCATAAATCTGCAATTAAGCAGAGGCCCTGATCAGAAAGTGCAAAAACAAACAATGTTAAGGCAATTCTTAACCCAGAAACTTGGTGGTCAAAGGATAAACTTACGCAGATTTACAGTGAGGAAACACTTTAATTACCAAACCAGGAGCATTAACTAAGACAATATAAAAGAATTTTACCAAGCAGCAATAATGACTAAAGGACTAGGACACGAAAACATGACCACGTGGTAAATTCAAAATTGCTTATTGGAACAACAAAGCACATGATGTTTGCATCTACTTGTAGCCACCATCACGCACAATATATCAATACAACGGCAAAAGTATGCAGTAAGACGTGAAGTCACAACCATAAGAATGATATAAATCGCTAATGAACATTGAACAATGAATAAGCAAAAGGATGCCAGTAGATTAACCAGAGCTTTATTATGCCCGACTTGTCAGTCTGGTTGACAATCACTAATGTGAAGTTCTGTGACATCATCACTTCTGTGGTCATGCGGGCGCTGTGTGATGGGATTACCCACACAACTAGTCGGAACAAAACAACTTTTTTTCAGCTGGACCTCTCACAGCTTCATCCTTCTGTCAGAAAACAGCAGTACCGTATTCGACATAATAATCGCCCAGGGCGCTCTCAAAATTAGAAATAGGGGGCTCTTATTAGAATATTATTTTGGTGAAAAAAACAGTAAATTTCGTGGTTTATGCTGACAGCCTGAAGTTTTTATGTACGACAGATATATTTTTCCAGAATTTATTAGCCAATAACTAAGGGTGCATATAACACACGAGTGTGTATTATACGCGAATAATTAAGTCTTGTGTACATTGATCAATCAGAAGGGGTGCTAATTGGGATTGTTCACCAGCCAATATATTAGCAAATGTCGCTGTGGGCGCTTATTAGAGCGGGGTGCTGATTGCGTCAAATACGGTATATACATTAAGGAGTGATTCAGGATAAATTTTAAAAAATAAAATATTTACTAGGTCAGCTTCCCCTCCCCCCCCCCCCCCCCCCCCCCACCTCCGAACAAAGTGACCAACTCACATTCTCAAATATTAATACAGGCATCAATAACATCATAACCTGAGCTAACAAAATAACAAGTCCTGAAGTCATACAGAACTAACCTGCTAAGATCTACATCCATCTCAAGGGGATCTCCACTTCCATTCTCGAGAACAGCAGTTAAGGCCTTGGCAGTGTCTCTCTCCGCGTACCAGATAGTCTTGAGGAATATCTTAACATGATCAGCCTCAATCTCAAGGATTATTACAGCATTCTTGTCTAGGAAGGCCAGAGCTTCTTCCCAGTTCTGTACGACATGTTTCTCAAAGAAGGTGGCCGATTTATTCCTCAATTCATTCTCCTTCACATACGTGTGTCCTCTCTTCTTGGCGTACAGCTTGAGAGCATTGTACATGTACAGAGCATCTCTCTGTACAGCTGGGATGCGGTGGATGAGACGGGAGTTGACCCACGACCGCAGCTGTGCCTCCAAGCCCATCACCCCGAATTCTCGGTATAAGATCTGGAGTTCAAGTGAAGGAAAAACTAATTAGTTTGCACTGAACCAGCTATTTCAATCTTTGCAGTTTTCTGCAGTGTCAAATATCTACCTCCAAAAGAGTGTATCCGTAATTTTCAGTCATGAGTTTTTCAACATAGACATGTTACAACAGGGGATGGGGCAGTCGGGTAGCCTAGTGGTTAAAGGGTTTGCTTGTCACGCCGAAGACCCGGGTTCGATTCCCGACATGGGTACAATGTGTAGAGCCCATTTCTGGTGTTCCTCGCCATTATATTGCTGAAATATTGCTAGAAGCGGCGTAACACCAAACTCACTCACTCACTACAACAGGGAGTAGAAATTGAAAGGTTTGTATCTTCTACCTGTGTAGAGATTCAAACAAATGGGTCTTCTCAGCATCTCAAACAAAAATTACTGTAAAACGTGAAATTAATGCATCTCCAAAAAAATGCAACCGCTGGCCCCTAGCCAAAAATGCGACTCAATATGAATGCGACACCCCCTCCTCTCAAGCATCAGTGGACAAAATGTCCTCTGTCAGGTTTACAGGAGAATCCTCACCTTAATCCAACCTTACATTAATCCAATCACACACCAAATAGCACCGCTTATTAGCGCTGAGTAGAGTACTTCAGCTAAAACAATACGTGCGCGCTGGCTCGTGTTGGCCCTTGATGCAGTCGCAAAGAGCAAAGACACCGTGTTGGGTGGCGTCTGTCTGGACTTGCAGGTGTGATCAGTGATGACATGAGTGAGTAGAACGTTTGTCTTGACCCCAGCAGTGACAATTCACAGGATGTAATTAGCATTTGAATGACATTGTTTATATACTTGTAACAAGTGCTGCTCAATAAACAGTGATGTGGAATACATAGTTGTTTGTTTACAGCGTATGTCTAAGTTGGTATTTCCGCTAGCCAAAATGTCTTATTGTTGACATAAATGCGATATTTAATAATGCGAGCAAAGACAACTCGCATTTTTCGCATTTAATTCACGCTCGCGTTAATATCAAGATTTACAGTATTTAATACATAAACAACTATGTATTTCATGGCAAGTGAGACAATCCCAATCCCACCAGGATGTGGCAGGAGGTATACCTGTTTGAAGCCGAACACCCACAGTTTGGTCTCAGTTGCTTCCTCCAACAGCTGCAGCTTCTTCTCATTGATGTGACAAGCCTTCTCCGCCAGCTTCAGGAAGTGGCATGGCAGCAGCTGGGAAGCCACTTTGAACAGCTTCGGATAACGAGTTGCAAACTGGATAACACTTCCTTGACCTTGGAAACGAAAATACATTACAACAATGTTACATGACAGTTAGTGGAGGCTTCTTTATGATTTACAGGTGTGGGCCCCATTTCACAAAGCAATCTTAGCGCTATGACTACCATAAGACCCGTGAAGATCAGGGGTAGAATAGGTCTTCAGCAACCCATGTTAGCCATAAAAGGCAACAATGCCTGTCGTAAGAGTTGACTAACGGGATCGGGTGGTCCTGCCCGCTGACTTGGTTGATGGTTGTAATTGTATCCCAGTTGCGTTGATCGATGCTCATGATATCAGTCACTGGATTGTCTGGTCTAGACTTGATTATTCAAAGACTGCCATCATATAGATGGAATATTGCTGAGAGCGGCGTTAAACAACAAACCAACAACAAAACAAACAAACCATAAGACAGGGTTAATGTTTGGGACTTATGTTAGCCTAGTGCTGAGATTGCTTTGTGGAATTAGTGTGAGTGAGTGAGTGAGTTTGATTTTACGCCGCTTTTAGCAATATTCCAGCAATATCACGGCGGGGGGACACCAGAAATGGGCTTCACACATTGTACCCACTTTGTGGAATTAATAAAACCTATGAGATCAATATGGGAAGGGAAACAACTCAAGAAAAACAGTTCTTTCATAAAACATTTTATTATACCCTCATTTAAAAAAGAATTTTGTACATCAAATTTTGATGATAATTATTCATGACCACAAATATGTGATCTCACCAAAATACAGAACAGAAATGAATTAAATGTAAACATGTCAAAATATCAAATGATGTCTGTTTGAATTGAGATTAAGGAGGGTCTTGGGTCCCTATCCACAAAGCTTTGTTGGTTTGTTTGTTGTATAAAGCCCCACTCAGCAATATTCCAGCTATATAACGGCGGTCTGTAAATAATCGAGTCTAGACCAGACAATCCAGTGATTAACAACATGGGCATTGGGATCGATGACATGCATAATCAAACAAGTCAGCGAGCCTGACCACCCAATCCCGTTGTCGCTTCTTACAGCAAGCATGGGTTGCTGAAGACGTATTCTACCCCGGATCTTCACGGATCTCCAATCAACAAAGCAATCTTAGTGGTTATACTCCCATACTTTAACATAGACGTATGACAATCGTAGTGCTACGATCGCTTTGTGGAACAGGACCCTTGAGGACTGCTGCTGTAGTATTTGAATCTAGGGAAATTACGAAGGCTTCTTGACTTTCATGCTTAATATTGAGCACAAGATGTTATGTCCAATTCTTAAACATCCAAAGACAATAAAAAGCACATTAATTGAGTTTCATCTATGTATTGAATAATTAGGATTGAAAACTTCTCACAAATGACACTGTCTGTACATGCATATTTTGAATTTACTATGCTGAAACTTTTCTCATATTGGAAGCTGAACTAAGTATATTGTGATATGTTTACCACCTGACAGCCATATAGTTGAGTTCAAGGTCTTCTTGACAAATACAAGATCAGCTTCTCCCAGCGTCTGTAAATACTTCTCAATCTCTTCTTCCAGATCCTTAAACTGTAACCTCTTATCAATTCCATTAGCTCTGCAAAATCAAAATTAATCTCTGTAGCTGATAATGGAAAAAAGTCAAAACGAATCCTGAGATGCTTAAGTAAGCTATTGACATATATGCCGACAAATAAGATGCATGACATTGTGATGAAATACAATGAAAACAACAACCAGAGATCCTGGGTTAGAATAGCTATGTTCCCAGGAACCAAAGATTGTCATAAGAGGTGGCCATATGAAGGTCCGTGAAGATCCAGGGTAGAATAGGTTTTCAGCAACCCATGCTTTCCGTTAAAGGCGACTATGCTTGTCATAAAAGGCGACTAACAGGATCGGGTGGTCAGGCTCGCTGACTTGGTTTATGCATGTCATCATATCTCGATTTTGGGGATCGACGCTCATGATGTCACACACTGGATTGTCTGGTCCAGATTCGATTATTTACAGACCGCCGTTATATAGCTGGGATATTGCTGAGGGCTGTGTTAAACAATAAACAAACAAACAAAATAGTGAGTGAGTGAGTTTGGTTTTACGCCACTTTTAGCAATATTCCAGCAATATCACGACTTCACACATTGTACCCATGTAGGGATTCAAACCCGGGTCTTCGGCGAGACGAGTGAACACTTTAACTACTAGGCTACCCGACAGCCCCCACAAACAAAATATTTCTGTAAATGCATGGTATAAGATTAAAAGCTTGATTCCCTCCGGGGATACTGGGTTAGAATAGCTTAGTCCCCAGAAACCAAAGTTTGTCATAAGAGGTGGCTGTATTGAGGTCAGGCTCTGTGCCTTGGTTGATTGAGTGTCACTGTACCAGCACAGCAAGGGATGTGCTCACAAGATCAGCCACTGGTTTGTCTGGTCCAGACTTAATTATTTACAGGATGACATCAGTAGCTTGAATATTGCCGAGTCTGGTGTTCAAAAACAAGCAAATATGACATTCCTCAATGAAAAATAATTTTCCCGAGAAACAAGTGTTCTATGACCATGATGACAGTTTACAGCTTGAAAAGAATGCAGAAAGTTACTCACTCAAAATAGTCGATCAAATCATCAACCACAGGGTCTGACATATTGTCCCGAGTGCGTCCTGCAGATGTGAGGAACTGCACAACCAGTTTGTGGGATGTGACAGCACTGTCTTCACGTAACTCATATTCTGGATGGCCGTTCATGTAATAGCATCGTTGTCTGTACTTGGCCTGGGCTGTTATCAACCACCATGGGTCCATCAGTTGGAACAGGCCTTGACAGAAATATTCTCTCTTGGGTTGGGTCACAGACTTGATGGTCACTTCAAAATATGAAAGGAGTTATCCATTATATTTAATAATTAGTCTATTTATTTAAATGAACTAAATGACAAAATTTCATTGTCTCTAAAACAAATCCAGATGAAATTAATTTTACGCTATGATTTGTTTGTTTGTTTTGTTTGTTGTTTAACGCCACACTCGGCAATATTCTAGCTATATGACAGCAGTCTGTAAAATAATCAAGTCTGGACCAGACAATCCAGTGATGGACATCATGAGCATCGATCGATCATGAGCAATAATCTGATCAGTTGAAAGCACTTTGGTCTCTATGTAAAGTAATAAATGTTCATTGTACCAATTGCCTTGCACCATAATATGCAGAAACAGAAAATGATTTATGCAGCCATCATTGTTATATTACATAAAAAAGTTACCAATCCAGATTCAGTTCTGGGAATCAAAATATGTTTTAACCATGTCTTAAAAAATGATAACCTGTGATAAATAAATCTGCAACAGATTATACTTTAATTGTTCAAGGGATTATCAGGCTCACTGACCCCCATAAGGAAAGGAAAAGAGGGAACCTGCCCCAGTACCATGAGTAACCATGGTGACAATTGCAACAAAGCATCTTCTGTATGAACTTACGTTGCTCAATGTAAATTATCGACTCGTGATGATCAGGGGTAGAATAGGTCATCAGCAACCTATGCTTGCTGTAAAAGGCGATTATGCTTGTCGTAAGAGGCGACTAACGGTATCATGTGCTCGCTGAGTTGGTTGATTCATGCAATCGATCCCAATTGTGTGGATTGATGCTCATGATGTCAGTCACAGACTTGATTATTTAATTACAGACCGTCGTCAGATAGCTGGAATACTGCTGAGTGCGGCGTTAAACAATAAACAAATAAACAAACAATGTAATTTATCAGCATGCTCTCACACATATTTTGCCAACCCATTTCATATTTATGTTTGCCAACATATAACATAGTCACTTCAAAATACGCAAAATTAAATTATTTTGGATGGATATCAAACAGGTAGGTATCTTGCTGATAGGGGGTAAACCTTTGGGTCAGGTGGGCTATTCCATCAAGGGACTCTGAAATTTAATGACCACTAAACTTTCGCCCAATGTAGGCCTGAGTATGCTCATATCAAACTTGAGTAATATGTCCAAGGATCCTACTATGCGATCTGAGATGTGCCTTCTGTTGGATGGGAAGTATGTAACAGGGCATGAGGTCATCCCAAAGATGATGACATGCTTAACCTTTTTGTTCATTTGGACAAGGCATCTGACCTCTGATCAAAAGGTATGTGGTTCGAATCCCATCACAAGACTTAGCAATTTTATGGCTACTACATAGGCAAAACAGTCTGATCCTCCACTACCACCACAGCACTAACTGCAATCCGAAAAGTGTGCTGGTAACATGCAGTACTCTCAATCCCATTAGATGAGATGTGCTTTTTCTCCAGTGAAGTACTGGGCTCTGTCTTAGCTAAAACAGCACCTTGCCTAAAGTAAAAACGGCTACTATTGCCTGGCGAAAATGGCACCTTATTTTTTTCCTTGGTAAAAATATAAATGAAATTAAACTCACATGGTCACTTGCAAACACAAATAATTGTGAAATGTTAAAACAAGTTTCTACTCCAATTTACTCCCTGACTCTGATTGGGAGGCGCAGCTAGACTTATTGTGCAAAAATCGCATGCTTTGATGTAAAATAAATTAAACTCACATGGTCACTTGCAAACAAAAATAATTGTGAAATGTTAATTGCCTTAAAACAAGAAATTAGCCTCTACTCCAATTTACTCGCCTACTCTAATTGGGAGGCGCAACTAAACTAATGGTAAAAACATCACATGCTTTCAGTGAGAGAGTGAGTTGGGTTAAACTCGGCTTTTAAAATTATTCCAGTTATATCATGGCATGCCAGCTTAATGTGGAGGAAAGCCCGAAATGATGCAGGTCTCAGATGTTTACCACTTCGGTGAAACCCATGAGCACAGGTATGGTGCTGACAAACCTCGAAACATAATCAAGGCAAACCAGGATTCGAACCCACAATCATACGTTTCTGGCGTGCCCAAGGGACACTTCTCTGCACAGCGAATCGCGGTGCCTTAGACGATTGAGACATCAGTGCCCCCTCAGATGCTTTGATTTAACCTTTACTCAAATTAACTCAATGTCAATTAGTTGCCTTTTTCGCCAAATGAAACTTCCCCGAGAAATCGGTGACGTTTTAGCCTGCACCCGTCTCAGCAGATCCGAGGAACTTCCCTGGGTGTCATAACATAAGGGGTAAGTCTACCTGTCATTGTGCGTTCAAACTGATGGTCAAATCAATCATGTCATACATACAGTAGGTCGACATGACAATAATAAGGACCAAACCTCTTCTTTTTTTGGCTGCTGTAAACTTTATGTACGATGCACCATCTGCCATAGCAGACATTTCCCCAAAATCGAGCCAGTCGGCGTCATCGTCACTCTCATCTGCATCGCTGTCATCGTCGTTTTCTTGAGGAAGAGCTACAACAAACCCCCTGATTGTCGTAGATCCCCTTGTAGCTGCTGCCATGTTGCGATTTAAAGAGACATCGCTATCATCGTGTTTAAGAATAGCGCCTTTGCGTGCTTTTAGCCGCCATCTTTTTCCTAAAAGTTGGAACAGATTTATTACGCGGAACGAAATTGGTCCGCAATCGTTAAACAAGTGAGTAGTCCCTTTTTCTGGTCTAAACCAGGGAGTTTACATAGAACGGACCCCTGTTATTTAAAACGGACCAGTGAAAAGCCAGATTGAAAACAAACACAAGTTTCTTAGTTTTATACTTATTTTATATGCACTGTCCTCTTCAAACCACAGGACCATGTAACTAATAAAATAATAACAAACAAACTCGCAGACATATCTGTGAGTTTCTTGCGAGTTTGTTTATTATTATTAGTAGTATAGTTACAAGGTCCCGTGTTCAAACGGACCAATGTTAGTCAAAATGGGTCAGTGAGAGCAGAGACCATAACATGTTTTATGGTCTATGGTGAGAGTGAGGATTCGGAGATTCAAGGACACGATCTATATCAGTTTTTTTACTCTTGCTAAACAGGTAACACATATGTGTTAACGTACAATTGTGAATATTCTGTTGTATAATGTAATATATAATGTAAATATTCCAGTATAATGCTAAGTCTGCTGAGCTCTAGGCAGGGTAAAAAACAAGTACAATCTTTTAACGTGTTCTGGTATGACGCGGGTGGGGATCGAACCCCGGATCTTCCGCTCTCCGGGCGGACGCTTTAACACTCGACCACGGATGCGGCCCTGCCAGATAACACGAGCAGGACACTGGTACGGTCATCAAATAGGGGCGACATCTATGTAAAGCATCGTCCATCTATCCTACCGATGAGGGCACGAGTGGCCCAGGCGGTCTACTCACGAAGCTGTCTCAGCTAAGACAGCGCAATTCGCTATGCAGAGTTGCGCCCCTTGGGCATGCCAGACGCCAATGATCGTGGGTTCCAATCCCGGTTCGCCCTGATTATGTTTCTAGGTTTGTCAGCACCATACCCATGCTCGTGGGTTTCACCAAAAGGGGAAACGTCTGAGACCTGCATCACTTCGGGCTTTTCTCACCTTGATATACCTGAAATACTGTTCAATGCGGCGTAAAACGCAACACACTCAGTAGTTTGTACATGCAGTAGTTTGTTTGAATATGAAAATTCACCGGAAGAACAAGAGACAATTCTCCTAAATGAAATTATATTCAAACAAATTACGTAATAGCATTTAAAAAAAATCAATTTATGATTACTAGATGAGTTAAATATGTTATTTGACAAGTACACACATCTTATGTTTACAAATTATATTATTTTCTTGGTTACTATGGTTTTTTTCTAAAACAACATGTCATTGTAAGATTCGCTGAAACATTTATTTTGCGCCTCTCCAGTTTAGAATATTTACAAGCCATTACGAACATGTATACAGCTGTCATAGTTGTAAAATTGGTATTTTTTTCCTCAATATTTATATAAAAGTTAATCATTTAGCGAACGACTGTGTTTCCCGAACCTTGCAATAAAATGTTCACATTTTTTAGGTATTTAGTGCATGTAATGTATTTTTGAAGGTGAAATGTGAAATCGATATCTCATTCGAGTGTGAAATAACACTTTATGTTGGAACTACTTTCAGTGTTTTAATGACATGGTTTTCAGAGTAAAATTGCGATAAAATGAAGAAATACGGAGCCTTGCAGCATTACTTCCCCGGGGATGTCAATACAGTATTATAACATTGCGCACTAAGGATATCTAGCAAAGTACACTATAAAAATAGAAAGAATAATTTTATTGATTTATGATTTTGTGGACATTGTGTGCGCGCGTGTGTGACAGTGTGTATGTCAATCAATCTTTATTGTATGAAAAGCCATTGGCCCATATACACAAACAGATAAACAATATCATTTACAGCTGTACAGCGCATTATATAAGTATTGGATAACTAATATGATGCTTGACATGTAATAGAGGTATTGTAATAACAGTGGTAATATGTGCGTGATGCGTGTCTGTGTGTATGACAGTATGTCTGTGTCTGTGTCTATTACTGTGTCCCTGTTGTACAGTACCAAGGACGACATTGGCCAGTATCGGTATGTGTGTATCTTATGAGATCTGTGCCAAAAAGCCAAATTGTCCTATTTGTATCAAAATAACGACCACTAACATTGCTGTAACCAACACTGTTTGTTCGTATGTGTGCTATTCTATTTAACTTTGCTGAGTTTTCTGGGATAATCGATATGCACTTCATTACGTCTACACGCGTGCTAAATATGATATTATTAAATACAACTTGTACTATTTTATTCGTGGATATCATATGAAAACTATTTTAAACGGCGATGCTTTGAAAAACTAAAATCAGTCCATGACTTCTCCATAAAAACAAAGAGATCTGAAACAGCTGACATTTAATCAAGATGCTGTCTGCAAACTCTAGAACTATTTTTTGATGAAGAACGTGACCCAAATAACTTTAATAACATACATAACAAACTCACGTTTTGCAATGATATTTCTCCTAGTGTTTCTACATATGTTTTTCTTGCCAATGTGCATTCTGTAAACAAATTTGTAAATGTTTTGTTGCTGGAGCGCATGTTATTCATGTTTACCAATCCATGTATTTTTCTGACAATATGCGTGTTTAAACCATAGTGTTGAATGGAGAATTTGTGATATTAATATTTCTATTTATCCATAGTTCAAATCCACCATGACTTTATGATATGGAATAGATTGAAATGAAGTGGATATTATTCATGAATAAAAAATAATTTAATATTATTTTCAGTTCAAGCTTTTCACAATGACTATGGTCTTTAATTTGCTGCTACTAATTTTAATTTCAAGGTAAATTCAATTTCCGACTCCTTTTCGGATACAACTTTTCGAAATAATCTATGCCTGCACGGATGATTAACTCCCAACGTCATTGGTAGTAATCGCATTAACGCCGCAACCCCCCGCTTGAATAATACGTCCCTTATTAAACTTTTGAATAACGGATAATCCATCCGTTTCCATGGTGAAACGAATGTACGACTGCACGCTCTGTACAGGTCTATTTACCATCGTTGCTAGGTGATTGTGTCCGTAGCTGGCCTTAAGTGATATCCGGTGTACATAGTGCCCGTTTTGACTTGACGCAGCATACTCAAATTCTAGAAACGCCGACAGTTAAACAGACCGAGCAACAAAGTCTCCGCTAACAGGTAACAGTAGCCAACAATTATGTTTTTCTTCTATTCCCCTTGTCTGATGCGGTAGATGTGTGATGATTATTATATGAAACCAATCCCTATCACTAACTAGAAGTAGAAAGGTATGATGAGATGAAATATTCTGACGAGGAATATTCTATTCCTCATTCTACTCAGTCTTTTCCTCAGTCGTGTACCACTGCAACCATTTTACATATCAAAGTTGGTTGATTCACGCTATTATAGTATAGTAATAATGTAATAATGTAATAATGTATAATAAATAATAAATAATAAATAATAAATAATATTAATGCTGGTCAAAGTATCTACTTATTATTGATACACTCCGCAGACATACGTGATGATGATGTTGTATGCTGTCAGAAATTCTCGCATCATCCATCACTGATAATGTCGCCTTTGTCTTTACGCCTTTGATTAACCATACAATTAGGACTTATGCATCTTCCTTCTCAGATCAAGATGGTGAAACTACACATCAAGAAAGGTGATGACAGCCACTTCCTGTACGAAACAACCGTGAATATTCCCATCGAAGACCTACTGAGAGATATCACTGCAATCTACAATGGCAGGTTGAAAGTGATGAGAATATGTGCAGGTTAGCTTTGTCACACAATTTGTCTATTGTTTAGGTTAGGCCTCACAATAAAGATTAACTTTGAACTGGTAACTTAACTAACTTTACAATTTTTTGCTCCCTACCCAACTTTTAACCATTGTATGTAGAACATAAATATCCACAGCCAACCCTAACACTATTTTGTAGTGTTGTCCCAATTAATGCATCTCATCGATAAATGATTGGATTTTGTTTCAAATCAAGGAATCAGTCATAAATTCAATGATAAGTTATTTTCCAATTAGTTAGTTAGTTTAAAAAAATTCTGGGGATAACAAAATCATGTACAGTATGTATGAAAGCTCCAAATGTCTTAAAACAGACAAAGTTTTAAGGCCTGCTGCTGTGACTGTGTTTCCGGGTAGATGTGTTTCAAGCCATGCTAGTTTAATTGACTCCATCTTCAATACTTCACAGGCTTGTATTTCGCTATGTTCTTCCATCAACTGTTAAGAGATAAGGCCAATATGTTTAGGTGATGGGTGTTTATTTTCAGTCAGCTGATGAAATATAGATGGGCGGTGGGGTAGCCTAGTGGTTAAAGCGTTCGCTTGTCATGCCGAAGGTTTGAATCCCCACGTGGTTACAATGTGTGAAGCCCATTTCTGGTGTCCTTCGCTGTGAAGTTGCTGGAATATTGCTAAAAGCGGCGTAAAACCATACACACTCGCTCACCCCAATGATATATGGCCATTCATAACTTACGGAGTTCAACTGAACCTTACACATTGCATAAAGTTTACCATTGTCCGACATTGCAGCAAAGAGTGGAGCTGATTTCACAAGTGTATGTTAAACATGATGTCATGTGAGAAATGTTATTGTTTGTGTGATGTAAACTGAGCATTTACTTGGCTGAGTATGTGCTGGTTTTTCTCTGGCTTCAACGGGCTGTTACTTGATTAATTAGTTAAAAATAGCTACTACATTGCAAAGAGGTGACTTAATGATTGGATAATCAGGAACGGTGACTTGGTTGATTGGTTGATTGGTTGATCATGTCATTGTAACTTGGCAACGTTTATCTTAGCTCAAAATCAATCACTGGATTGTTTGATCAAGACAGTTACATACAGGTTGCCGTCATGTAGCTGAGTTTGGTGCAACCAACAGTACCTGTGATGAAATTTGTCTCCTCAACACAGCATTTATTTAACTTTCATGTATCTGAATTTGTATAATATAGCTAGCTTTCTATTGAGGTATTGGTCTCATTAATCATTGCAGCCCTATTTCCTCCTGGTTGATATCACCCGTGAAGATCTGGGGTAGAATAGTTCTTCAGCAACCCATGCTTGGCGTAAAAGGCGACTATGTTTGTCATAAGAGGTGACTAATGAGATCGGGTGGTCTTGGTGACTTGGTTGGTGCATGTCATTGTATCCCGATTACTTGGATCAATGCTCATGATGTCAATCACTGGCTTGTCTGGCCCAGACTCGATTATTTACATATTTATATAGCTGGAATATTGCCAAGTGCAGCGTTAAAGAACAAACAAACAAACAAACAAACTGGTAGACACTTTTAGTACATCTTTTAATATCATGAGGTTTGTGTCTTGATTTTTACTCATGCAATCATTTTGAACACATCCTGTTAAAGTAAATGTATATGTATCATACAGAGATGGAGGAGTTGGCCAAGTTTGGCATCACGCTGCCACCCAACATGCAGGGATTGACAGAGGAGCAGATCTTTGACCTGAAGCTGGTGGACGAGTGGGCAGAGAAATGTACACCAAGTGGGGGATACAAGGAGAAGAAGGATGAGATTGGACGACGGAATGGCAGAGGTAGGATGCAGGAAAATACTGTTCTTGTTATTCATCTTATTTTTGTCTCTTTCCTAGAAAAAACAAACCCAAAACATCTTTGCTCTTGTTACAGTTTCAACTGTTCTTATAGGACTGTCAAGCTAGATGCTGGAGTGTGTTTTGTAGTAATTAGATGGCACTGACAATGGGTAAATCAAGAACAAGTTAATCATTGTATGTTCTTGTGACTGTATCTTCCCTGAGAAAGACAGACCGCCTCCGTGGTCTAGTGGTAGAGCGTCCGCCCGGAGAGCGGAAGGTCTGGGGTTTGATCCCCGAACGCGTCATACCAAAGGACAATAAAAGATGGTACTTGTTGTTACCCCGTCTGGCACTCGGCATTAAGGGGCTAAAACAAGGACTGGTCGGCTCAGAGTCAGTATACTGTGTCTGAGAGGGGTATTCATGTTAAACTGCGGCGTGGTATCTCAGTGAGCTAGCACTATAAATCGGCATCAGTCCGGACTAGTACAAGCAGCCACACAAACACACACACGTACATGCACGTCGCTCTATAAGTGCAATAATCTTGGACGCGACGTTAAACCCCATTTCACCTCCTCACCACCTGAGAATGACATCTTGGGAGATACTTGTTTTGCAGCACCGTTTTATCAAAGTGGTGAAAGTCTGAGACATGCCATCTTTCCGAGGCAAGAGTGTCCACTAGCCTTTTTATCAAAGTCTGGTTTCCACAGTTGCCACATCAATCCCAATTTCCTGTGATAAATATGATTGGACTATCGATAGTCCATTCAGAGAACGTTTCACAAAATCAACATCCACGACTGGTACACCTCTGTATGAAAGTGATATACCGCTGCCTGTCCTTGTTAAGAACGACCATGTCTTTTCAACCCCCGAACGATTGCCTATGTTTTTGTGTCAGGGATGAAATCACGAATGTTTTCGTTATCTGATTGACTAGGTAGTCGCTATCTTTATGAAACTATACAAGATAAGAACAGCGTTCTGATTGGATATCTCGTTATAATTACAAGGGGCACAATTCGTGATCTACACGAGGTGGCGCCAGGGTCAATCCAAGAAAAGTGGCCTTGATGTGGCAAGGGTAGAAACTAAACATGGCTATAGGCTAGTGGACACCTTGCCACGGGTAGATGGAGACCTGCATCACTTTGGGTATCCTCCCAAATTAAACTGACATACACTGAATTACTGAAATATTTTTCAAAGTGGTGTTCAACCAGACACACTTACAATTAAGTAAGACTTGTTCTTACATCAATTGAAAACAATGTTATGATATTTATTTCAGAAATTTGACTCCAACTGAAGGTTTTGTTGATTTGTTTCAGCACCCACTGACACAATGGCAGAGGTTATCAAGAAGACAGTGAAGGAGGCCAAGGACCTGATCTCAAAGGTACAAGACTGTAAAACATTCTCTGTATATTTTTACCGCCTTCGTGGTCAAGTGGATAGAACGTCTGCCCAGAGAGCGGAAGGTCGGTGGTTTGATCCCTGGCCATGTTATACCCAGAGAGCGGAAGGTCGGTGGTTTGATCCCTGGCCATGTTATACCCAGAGAGCGGAAGGTCGGTGGTTTGATCCCCGGCCATGTTATACCCAGAGAGCGGAAGGTTGGTGGTTTGATCCCCGGCCATGTTATACCCAGAGAGCGGAAGGTCCGTGGTTTGATCCCTGGCCATGTTATACCCAGAGAGCGGAAGGTCGGTGGTTTGATCCCCGGCCATGTTATACCCAGAGAGCGGAAGGTCGGTGGTTTGATCCCCGACCATGTTATACCCAGAGAGCGGAATATCAGTGGTTTGATCCCTGGCCATGTTATACCCAGAGAGCGGAAGGTCGGTGGTTTGATCCCCGGCCATGTTATACCCAGAGAGCGGAAGGTCGGTGGTTTGATCCCCGGCCATGTTATACCCAGAGAGCGGAAGGTCGGTGGTTTGATCCCCGGCCATGTTATACCCAGAGAGCGGAAGGTCGGTGGTTTGATCCCCGGCCATGTTATACCCAGAGAGCGGAAGGTCGGTGGTTTGATCCCTGGCCATGTTATACCCAGAGAGCGGAAGGTCGGTGGTTTGATCCCTGGCCATGTTATACCCAGAGAGCGGAAGGTCGGTGGTTTGATCCCTGGCCATGTTATACCCAGAGAGCGGAAGGTCGGTGGTTTGATCCCCGGCCATGTTATACCCAGAGAGCGGAAGGTCGGTGGTTTGATCCCTGGCCATGTTATACCCAGAGAGCGGAAGGTCGGTGGTTTGATCCCCGGCCATGTTATACCCAGAGAGCGGAAGGTCGGTGGTTTGATCCCCGGCCATGTTATACCCAGAGATGTTAAAAGACCATTCTTGTTGTTTCCCTACCAGGCTTTCGGGATTTCTATGCAAGAACAAAGACTGGACAGAGTCAGTATACTGTGTCTGGTGCGGGGTGTCCATGTGAAACCCTGGCATGGTATCTCAGAGGGCTAGCACTATAAAACTGGCATTTGTCTGGACTAGAACAAGTACGCGCATGCATGCACTCGCACATGCTATATGGTGAAGTAATCGAAAAAGCTACATTAACCCCATATTTCACCTCACATGTCTTATTGCTTATACTTAAAGTCTTTAGTATATATATTTGAAGTCTCTGTTATAGCTTTGATACTTGCAGTATCCCTGGTATCTGTGGCATAGCTTTGATCCTTGCAGTATCCATGGTATAGCTTTGATCCTTGCAGTATCCATGGTATAGCTTTGATCCTTGCAGTATCCATGGTATAGCTTTGATACTTGCAGTATCCCTGGTATCTGTGGTATAGCTTTGATCCTTGCAGTATCCATGGTATAGCTTTGATACTTGCAGTATCCCTGGTATCTGTGGTATAGCTTTGATACTTGCAGTATCCCTGGTATCTGTGGTATAGCTTTGATACTTGCAGCCTATGTGGTATGACTTTGATATTTGGAGTGTCTGTAATATAGCTTTGATACTTACATTTCAATATTCGATCCGTTATTCACTTCTCTAAACTGTGCATGTGTTGTGTCCAGGAGAAGGTGAAGGCCAACGCGGAGGTGACCCAGGGGTCAGTGAAGGAGGCACTGGACATGCTGCGTGGGGCAGTGATGATCGTGTACCCCATGGGACTGCCGCCTCATGACCCCATCAGGGACGAGTTTGAAAACACAGAGGACCTCACTGGAACTCAGGTTTGTGTGACGGGACAATATCCCCTTGTATTTCATGCCCCACTGTGGGCGGTTGGTTAGCCTAGTGGTTAAAGCGTTCGCTCGTCACGCCGAAGACCCGGGTTCGATTCCCGACATGGGTACGATGTGTTAAGCCTATTTCTGGTGTCCCCCGCCGTGATATTGCTGGAATATTGCTAAAAGCGGCGTAAAACCATACTCACTCACTCACTCACTCATGCCCCTCTGTTTTAACAGATTCCCTGGTAGCTGTGAAGATCCAGGTTAGAATAGGTCTTCAGCAACCCATGCTTGTCATAAGAGGCTACTATGCTTCTCGAAGAGGCGACTAACGGGTCGGGTGGTCAGGCTCGCTGACTTGCTTGGTGCATGTCATTGTATCCCAATTGCGTAGATCGATGCTCATGAGGTCAATCACTGGATTGTCTGGTCCAGACTCGATTATTTACAGACCGCTGTGATATAGCTGGAATATTGCTGAGTGCCATGTAAAACAAACAAACAAACAAACAAACAAACAAAACATTCCCTGGGGGAGAGATCATCTTGGAATACTAACACAGACTCAACTCATGTGGAATCCCGGTTCGCCCTGATTATGTTTCTAGGTTTGTCAGCACCATACCCGTGCTCGTGGGTTTCACCGAAGGGGTAAACGTCTGAGACCTGCATCACTTCGGGCTTTCCTCCCACATTAAGCTAATAGCCGTGATATAACTGGAATAATGTTAAAAGCGGCGTTAAACCCAACTCACTTACTCACTCAACTCATGCGATGACATCTCTGACGTCATGGATCGGTGTTCACAATGTTGACCCCTGTGGATGTGATTTGGCTGTTTTACTGCTGACTATCACTTAAGACCTCTTGTGATTTACTAGTCCATTTGAATTGAGTTATATTATGAGAAATACCTGATCATAAAAGATTGCATGTTGTTATTTCTGTTTACTCCTTGTATGCAGGCATCCCTGGATGTGATAGACGAGGCTAGTGCTTCCCTCTGGTGGGCAGGGAAGGAGTTTATCAGAGGGAAGAAACTCATGGACTTCATTGGCAAGAATGAGAAGACAAAAATAGTTGCCAAGTTGCAGAAGGTGGGCCTTGAGATATGTCTGTAATAACAGTTCGGAAATCACTATTTCTGATTGCGCTCTGATGCTATGTACCTGTGTATGAGTGGAGATATGGACTGTCTGGGCATTGAAGTGGTGATGGACGATTTAATAATAGAAATGCAACGGTTAAACCAGAAATCGGTATGTGCAGAACTAAGTTGTGAAATCGGTAGATGACCACACAAGGTCAATGAATAATCAACAAATTATATTGATAACACAGAGTTTTAGGTTTACAATAATGAGGCAATACACTGGGACAAAGAAGTGGCAGTAGCAGTAAGTACATGAACTAGCAGGACTAGAATTAATGTAACTGCACTCATGAATGTCTAGAATTTTGTCACTGTCATAGGTATTGGAAGGGGTTTGTCTCAGTCCTTGAATCCAGAATAGTGTTAGAAGCTGGCTGGTGTTTTCAGATAGAATTCAGTCCACATTGGACAAGTAGATAACACATTAGTCTGGTAGTTACAGGCCTCAAATCACCCTCGCTGCTCTTTTGTAGGTTTAGTTAGCCTTCTGAAAACTGTCTGATCCCCATACTTCTTAAATGATCAAGTCTGTCTCGTACATGTTTGCACAAAGGCGGATAATTCTAAATTACTCACTGCCGATAAAATCTGGCCACAACACCACTTGCCATTTTAATTTGAACAGTGCTTAAGTAATTTGCTGCCACTGACAATCACTACAAATATAGGGGTAGTCGGGTAGCCTAGTGGTTAAAGCGTACGCCTGTCATGCGGAAGCCCCTGGTTCGATTCCCGACATGGGTTCAGTGTGTGAAGCCTATTTCTGGTGTCCCCGCCGTGATATTGTTGGAACATTGCTTAAAGCAGCTTAAAACCATCTTCACTCACTCACGTCAAATATACTTGCATAAATCTCCACTGCCACAGAGCAATGGATACATCATTAAGCTGACTGCAATGCAGTGAGTGTATCGGCTGTGTGGTTGTTTTGCAGCGTGGCCAGGGTGCGCCGGGGAGGGAGCCGGTGGTCGGGGAGGAGGAACAGAAACAGATGATGGCGTTCTACTACCGCAAACAGGAGGAGTGGAAGGTAACATGTCTCATGTCTCTGTCACTGTAGGGATTCCAGTTCAGAACCATCTTCCTGAGGCAAGGGAGTTAACTGACTTAATAGTCCAGTTTCCACCCTTGTCGAACTAGGCTGGGATTATGGAGTTCTATTTTGGCTGGACTAACGGGTCTATGCATGGTCCAATCAAAATCGCGCAAGGAAATCGACACCTGGTTCGAAACAACATGGTGACTGCTGTGCAGATTTCGATCGATTGCAGGATTTGCAAAGCGTGTGTACCATCAATTTTGCATCAACTGATATTTTCCAAATCTTTTCATATTTTTAATCAAAGTGCTCTCGTGATTTGATACACTTCGCAAAGTAAGACCCATGTTATTACAATGAGGATTTTGATTATTGATCATATCGTCTTAACTTGGAGCTGCCATTTTGTTTGAAGCAAATGCATGTGATATGAAAGGTGGAATCTGATAAAACTGATGGAAACTCATAATAGCCACTGGTGTCGCTATGATCGAGCCCAGAAGTTCCAATCTAGTTTGGGAAGGCTGGAAACTGTACTTTTTCAGTCAGTTAACTCCCTTGCCTTGGCAAGATGGGTCAGAATAGGTTCCCAGTACCTCATTCTTGTTGTAAGAGTCGACTGAATTGAGGATAAGTGGGTTAGGCTCTGTGATTTCACTGATTGCTCGCCATTAGGAACAGTCAATTGTCTTTCAGATGTCTCTGGCCTTCATGAAAGTGTCCTAAAGTGCTGTCACTACAGCCAGACTCTTATTTCTGCAAGGGTTAACAGGGGTAGAAACTAACAGTTTTAGTCCACTAGTCCTTATAATGATAACATATAGCAAGCCCCTTAAAAATGGCAAATTTCTACTAGTCCTTATGATACCTTTACTATTGGGCAGTTTGGCAAGGACTATAGGACTAGTGCCAGTTTCTAAAGCTGGTTAAAATACCAGAGATCCCACAGTCGTATGCTGCAACTATGTATACTATACTTGATGTATACTAGACCGCCTCCGTGGTCTAATGGTAGAGCGTCCGCCCAGAGAGAGGAAGGTCTTGGGTTCGATCTCCAGCCGCGTCATACCAAAAGATGTTAAAAGATGGTACTTGTTGTCACCCTGTCTGGCGCTCGGCATTAAGGGGCTAAAACAAGGACTGGTCGGCTCGGAGTCTGTATACTGTGCCTGAGTGGGGTATTCATGTTAAACTGCGGCATGGTATCTCAGTGTGCTAGCACTATAAATCGGCATCAGTCCGGACTAGTACAAGCAGCCACACACACATACACGTACGTCGCTATATAAGTGCAATAATCTTGGACGCGACGTTAAACCCCATTTCACCTCACCTCACTTGATGTATACTTTGATTGCAGAAAATGGATGCTGATGCAGAGGATGCATACATGGACTCAGGCTGGGCTGACACCAAGCAGCTGAAGAGACAGTTCCAGGGAATGAATAACATCAAGTGGGGGCCCCGTTGAGATGACCCCGGGGTCAAGGGGCTGGGGTCCCATGGGGCTGCAGTGTGATGGACTCGGGGGCAAGGGAAGGGTGTCATGGAGACATATTATCTGAGTAGATAAAAACAGTCTTTATCATTGGATGAATACAGAGAATGGATGCCATGTACAGAAAACAGTCCTTGCTTCTTCATGGCGAAGATGAAATCTGTGTGTCTTATATTTTCCGGGGACAAGTTCAGGCAAATCTGCCCGAAGTATCACACCGCAAGTATTAGATGCTGGAATATCTGGGCAACTGTTGCATGAACTGAGACTTGATATCATCAAATTGTTGCTGGACTGCTTCTTTGAACTTCATACATCTTGACTCCATACAACAATGATTGGTGCAACTGTTGGTGTAATTTAGTGGTGGTTCATGATCATTGAGACTCAGCAGTGAGTTGTCTCCCCTTGGGTGAGGGACCTCTTCAGCATTATGTTTACATGTACATCTGTGTAATTGTTGTTAAGGTATGGATGTGGTTCTCACAGGATTCTCGTGTGAATGATAGTGTGTACACGTGGTGCGGGTTTAGATCATGACAAGTTGGTACAGCAATCTGTAAACTGGTCCAAAGCCCGAGTCTAGTAATATTCTGTTCAGTCTTGTAAGCTCGGCTATTGTTTGGTCCCATAGTAACACAAACTTCAACTGAAAATGATTCTTAAGAGCCCAGTTGGAGCAACTAGACTCAATCATTTGGCATCAACTGGTACAGATACATCTTTCAAACAGTTTGGGTTGTTTAGGCCAAGTATGATACTCTTGGGAGATACTTCTGTGGATATGCAACTTCTTTATTACAATGAATGTGACATTTCAGCGTAGATACTAACACCATTATCAAGCTAGAATCTTTGCATCCATTGTAATAAAAAGTTGTATATCCATAGAACTATCTCATTGTTCAGCTACCAACTGCTGAATGCCACTTACAGAAGTATGGTACTGTTATCTGTGTACCAACAGTCATGTATAAATATCTCAATACAACAGTTGTAGCTTTAGGCATCATCTCTCAAATTTGGATATCTGAGATTATAATAATAAAATCACCAAGGGTAGATATTTACTCTAACTGTCTTGAAGCCTTGATAATAGAGGGGTTAAGCCTTGATGATGGAGGGGTTAAGCCTTGATGATAGAGGGGTTAAGCCTTGATGATAGAGGGGTTAAGCCTTGATGATAGAGGGGTTAAGCCTTGATGATAGAGGGGTTTGATGATCAAGTATAATTATAAAGTCCTCTGCATGTTTCATTTTTATTTCCATTATCAAAAAAATATAATCTTTAAATTTTCCGCATCTTGAACACACAACCCTGGCAGTGAATGCTACAATGCTTATGAACAACATGATTTTGCTGAAATTATTGTAAACAAAATTTGGTTACATACTGGCTTGAACAAAAAAAAAAACAATCACATGCCCGCATTATATTTTCAAAAGCCATTGCTTGAGAACCAGTTCTTATATTTTTTTAAGCCTTAACCCATCTTTCATTTCCCTGTTGTTGGGTGTATGATCACCGCCCACTGCTGTACTGCCATGTTGCTGTCCCCCTTGTAGTGTACCACAAGCTGGTGTTGGGCATTGTTTGAGAGTTTGGATGAGTTTTACAGACATTCCGTTGATGCAGTTATTGCAACATATTTCAGTGTATCTTGTTAGTGAGGCCACTCTCATGTACAAGTACATGTATTTCTTCACCATTATTTGTTCATGTTTTTATATCTCGCATGTTTCAGCTATGTTAGTATGTCTGTAATATACATTTGTAATTATTAGGTTTTATGTCAAATCTTCCGTCCAGAATCGTATACAGGAATTCATGACAATGTATGGAATAAAATGAAAATAATATGGCAGTGCCTGTGTTTAATTTTCTTGATGAGTGTTTGTTTGTTTGTTTGTTTAACGCCGCACTCAGCAATATTCCAGCTAAATGACGGTGGTCTGTAAATAATTGAGTCTGGACCAGTCTGGAGTGTCGATCTATGCAATTGGGATACATTGACGTGCATCAACCAAGTCAGCAAGCCTGACCACCCGATCCCGTTAGTTGCCTCTTACAACAAGCATAGTCGCCTTTTATGACAAGTATGGGTTGCTTAAGACCTAGTCTAACCTGGATCTTCATGGGTCTTGAAGAGTGAGTGAGGAAAGGAAGGAAGGATGGAGGGGAGAGAGAGAGAGCAAACCGGGGAGCGGTACCCCTACATCGATATATTGACTGTGAGGTGGGAAGTGAACCTTTGTCTTCCACATGGAGACTATCTGAGGGTGGCTGATGACTCCATTGCCTCATGCTGGGGAAACTGAAATGGGAATTCATTTGTCACAAGTACCTGAGGTGTGATTCAAATTGGGAAGACAACTTTGCTGTGACTTCTTGTTGCCCTGATGGAGTGATGTTCACACTATCAACCATTGGTTTATACCAGTCACACAAACACTATTGTCACTGTAGTACATCAGTGAATACATTGTAACACTGCCAATATATATAGTATAAAGCTGCTTAGTGGTATATCTGTTATATGGCAGTGTTTATATCTGTAACACTACTGAACCCGCCTCCATGGCCTGGTTGCTGGAGAGCAGATAGTCAGTGGGGTTGATCCCCGGCCGCGTCATACCAAAAGATGTTAAAAGGTGGAGCTCGGCATTAAAGGGGTTTAAAACTGCTGTGTTATGTATGTTGTTGCTGTGATCTATAAATATCAGAGGTCCCCAGCTACCCATGCTTGTCATACCTGGCGACCAAATACATAGGCTGGTGACTTGGTCAACTGTATGTTATGATACCTTGACGGCATTGATCGTTGTTCACATCAGTCACTAGATTGTCTGGTCAAGAATTGATTATTTACAGGCTGCCGTTGTATAGCTGGAATAGTGCTGTGTGTGGTGTTTATCAACAAACAAGTCGTAATGCTGTGTTATATATAGCTGCAATTCTGCAATAAAACCCTGTACCCTTTCTGTAGAAACGTGAACTTGCTATAGCCTTTAAAACCCTGTACCCTTCTGTATAAGCGAGAACTCGCTATCCTCTTCAAAACCCTGTACCCTTTCTGTAGAAACATGAACTCGCTATTCCCTTTAAAACCCTGTACCCTTTCTGTAGAAACGTGAACTCGCTATCCTCTTTAAAACGCTGTACCCTTCTGTAGAAACATGAACTCGCTATCCTCTTTAAAACCCTGTACCCTTCTGTGGAAACGTGAACTCGCTATCCTCTTTAAAACCTTGTACCCTTTCTGTAGAAACGTGAACTCGCTATCCTCTTTTAAACCCTGTACCCTTCTGTAGAAACATGAACTCGCTATCCTCTTTAAAACCCTGTACCCTTCTGTGGAAACGTGAACTCGCTATCCTCTTTAAAACCCTGTACCCTTTCTGTAGAAACGTGAACTCGCTATCCTCTTTTAAACCCTGTACCCTTTCTGTAGAAATGTGAACTCGCTATCCACTTTTAAACTCTGTACCCTTTCTGTATAAACGTGAACTCGCTATCCTCTCTAAAACCCTGCACACTTTCTGTAGAACGCAAACGTGAACTCGCTATCCACTTTAAAACCCTGTACCCTTTCTGTAGAAATGTGAACTCGCTATCCACTTTTAAACCCTGTACCCTTTCTGCAGGAATGTGAACTCGCTATCCTCTTTTAAACTCTGTACCCTTTCTGTATAAACGTGAACTCGCTATCCTCTCTAAAACCCTGCACACTTTCTGTAGAACACAAACGTGAACTCGCTATCCACTTTAAAACCCTGTACCCTTTCTGTAGAAATGTGAACTCACTATCCTCTTTAAAACCCTGTACCCTTCTGTAGAAACATAAACTCACTATCCTCTTTAAAACCCTGTACCCTTCTGTAGAAATGTGAACTCGCTATCCTCTTTAAAACCCTGTACCCTTTCTGTAGAAATGTGAACTCACTATCCTCTTTTAAACCCTGTACCCTTTCTGTTCAAATGTGAACTCGCTATCCTCTTTAAAACCCTGTACCCTTTCTGTAGAAACGTGAACTCGCCGTCCACTTTTAAACCCTGTACCCTATCTGTACAAACGTGAACTCGCTATCCTCTTTAAAACCCTGTACCCTATCTGTAGAAACGTGAACTCGCTATCCTCCTTAAAACCCTGTACCCTTTCTGTAGAAATGTGAACTCTCTATCGTCCTTAAAACCCTGTACCCTTTCTGTAGAAACGTGAACTCACTGTCCACTTTAAAACCCTGTATCCTTTCTGTACAAACGTGAACTCTCTATCCTCTTTAAAACCCTGTACCCTTCTGTGGAAACGTGAACTCGCTATCCTCTTTTAAACCCTGTACCCTTCTGTAGAAACATGAACTCGCTATCCTCTTTAAAACCCTGTACCCTTCTGTGGAAACGTGAACTCGCTATCCTCTTTAAAACCCTGTACCCTTTCTGTAGAAACGTGAACTCGCTATCCTCTTTTAAACCCTGTACCCTTTCTGTAGAAATGTGAACTCGCTATCCACTTTTAAACTCTGTACCCTTTCTGTATAAACGTGAACTCGCTATCCTCTCTAAAACCCTGCACACTTTCTGTAGAACGCAAACGTGAACTCGCTATCCACTTTAAAACCCTGTACCCTTTCTGTAGAAATGTGAACTCGCTATCCACTTTTAAACCCTGTACCCTTTCTGCAGGAATGTGAACTCGCTATCCTCTTTTAAACTCTGTACCCTTTCTGTATAAACGTGAACTCGCTATCCTCTCTAAAACCCTGCACACTTTCTGTAGAACACAAACGTGAACTCGCTATCCACTTTAAAACCCTGTACCCTTTCTGTAGAAATGTGAACTCACTATCCTCTTTAAAACCCTGTACCCTTCTGTAGAAACATAAACTCACTATCCTCTTTAAAACCCTGTACCCTTCTGTAGAAATGTGAACTCGCTATCCTCTTTAAAACCCTGTACCCTTTCTGTAGAAATGTGAACTCACTATCCTCTTTTAAACCCTGTACCCTTTCTGTTCAAATGTGAACTCGCTATCCTCTTTAAAACCCTGTACCCTTTCTGTAGAAACGTGAACTCGCCGTCCACTTTTAAACCCTGTACCCTATCTGTACAAACGTGAACTCGCTATCCTCTTTAAAACCCTGTACCCTATCTGTAGAAACGTGAACTCGCTATCCTCCTTAAAACCCTGTACCCTTTCTGTAGAAATGTGAACTCTCTATCGTCCTTAAAACCCTGTACCCTTTCTGTAGAAACGTGAACTCACTGTCCACTTTAAAACCCTGTATCCTTTCTGTACAAACGTGAACTCTCTATCCTCCTTAAAACCCTGTACCCTTTCTGTAGAAATGTGAACTCGCTATCCTCTTTAAAACCCTGCACACTTTCTGTAGAACGTAAACATGAACTCTCTATTCTTTAAAGAGACACAATGACACGAAACTAGACACAATCAGAGCATGGAACATTTATTCTGTACAAAAAATATACAAACCAAAGTTGTACATGACATTGTGTGTATATACACCCAACACGTAGCACAGTGTCACACAATACAACCACAGTCGGTTGACAGCAGCCAGACGAGGCCGAGCTGTGACATCACAAATGGGTATAAGGAAATATACGATTAACTTAAACGTATGAATATTGTAAATAATGTACATAATTGAAACACAAACATTCTCAACTTTCTTTCAGTTAATAAATTTATGCAGTTTTGTCTTAAAAGTGTATTTGTTCTCAAACGAAGTATAAATATGTGCAAAATAAAACATCTGTTTTAATAAATATATTTGGCATACAATTTCCAATTGAAAAGTAGAAATTTTCGATGTGCACAAACTTTACAGTGTAAAAAATATACAATACATACACTAGTACAGTGGACAGGGTTGAAGGGACAAAGCTTATCGAACACTGTAACACTGTTCAAAGTAGAGGAACATACGCTCACATGAACAGACACGTACCTTGCTTCACAGATATAGCTTACAGCTGCATGTTTTCATTTTTCACAGATTCTAGGTCAGCATATGTTGACAAAAGATTTAGAATTAAAAAGAGGTAAATTACCTTTTGTTATTTAATTTATCTGATTTTTAGAGCAGACTCTTTAAGATATGCTATACAAAGGCAGTCTGGCTTTAGTGAAGAAAGCTATCAGGGTGAAAAATATAAACGTGTTCTCTTGCATCATATGAAACACTATTTTAAAAACAAAAAAATGTTTCAAAACATACTGTTGTTTCCAACTTAGTTTCATCTGAAAAGATTTAATTATGTTTGGCATTAAAAATATGGTGACCTTGAAACCAAGAAGTGAAAAGGGTGGTCTAATGGTTGTGTGAGATTACAGTTATGACGGTGAGGATGTGTGTGTTATACATCACTATGATAGATGATACGTATGATGAGTAGCTGAATATGAATGCAGTTAGTGATCAGATGGGTTCACATATCTGTATATTTTGACCCAACTGATCAATTAAAACTGATAACTGTGACCCACCAGGAGAAAAGGAACCTAATGGGTGCTCAGATACAATTGTGCTATGATGTCATAAAGATGTTTGACGTCATCTTACTTCAGTGAAGATCAATATTTGATGTCATGTATCGCTGTAATAAATTGTAATTTGTGTTCTGAAGATACTGGAGTTTTAAAATATAATGAAAAGTCAAAACGTGATTTTTCACCCATAAGGTCCATTATCGCATGGTTGGTCACAAATATTCTGAGTGATGCTGATATACTCATGGTATTAAATAAGGGAATTTAAAAAAAATAAAAATCTGGCTTTACATGTACCAAATTAAAATATGTGTACTAAACTCTCAACTATGTTTCCCCCTTTTTCATAGTT